AAAAGTCACTTTGCAGAAGTAGAAGTAATGTAGAGAGTTTGACCATGGATTGATAACGGTTAGAGAACCATTGAAAACCAGGGAGTACTGGACAGCTGTTTCATCCTAGTTTAGAAATCTATCGGTTGTCGGTCTTATATTTCACCATCTTGATGAAATCTAAAAACTGGCGTCTTGCATTTAAAACTCAGCAGGAACAAATGACTGCTATCAGCACTGCCACTGATTAGTGACTGATCACAGGACTGGGCTTGTGATGTCATTATACGTGGTTGATGAGGATGAATCAACTAAACCTTGTATCAGCAGATTATATGATGTTTGAGTTCATATAAAGTGTGTGAAGTAAAAGATTAGGTCTATAGAAATACAATAGCTCGTAGAGTGGATTTGAACGGACCGGGACTTGTAATTTCAGCTGTTCCTATTTTTACGATAACACTACACTCACTAATCATATTGCAAGTCTGTAGGTAGAATTTTCTGCATATCCACAGACTATGGGTTCAGGTGGATAGTACACTTTTTCGTAGAGAGGCAATGAGAATATCTCCCGCACTTCACTGGTAACCTGCATCCTATGCGATTCAACAGATTTCACGTCACTTTCCACCATCTAAATGCTGACCAAAATAGGCTCAAATAGGGGTGGGAATGACTGCAGAATTATTAATATAGGTTGCCAGATATGTGTCAGACAAAAAAATTCCTCCAGGCACTAGATGGTATGAGCACAATTCTAAGCTTAAGAGAAATTGGGTGATAAATCGTCATGAAATAGGTGGGCAGTCTCAGAGGTTAGGTGTGAGATAGGATATAGTGTGCAAATGAACTGAATACATCATTTCAGGTTAAGCCTAAGCTCAAAGATGATAAACCGTAGCACACGTGCCAGAAATTAGCTGTTAATTAATAATGGGACTACCGGTGAGCGATGATTAGAATAAGTTGTGAGGGACTGGACGGGTCATTATTATGCATCATTCCACCAGTCCTCCTAAAATCAGTGAGCTCTAACAGTCACTTAATCAGTGGTCTGCCTAAGCTGTTGTAACTAATATGGTGATAAAAGAGACTCAGTTCTCTTGGAATATACTCGGAAGGCTGGTATGTTTAAATTGAATGACTGTCATTCTAGAGGAAGAGTTCTAGAACTAATATGGTATGTGTGTCGGAACCAGCACTTGGGAAAGCGTTTACTGGCTCCAGAGCCCTGTTGTTTATGTGCCTTCTGAAACAGAACTCAAGCCACAGCATGTAACCAAAAGCGAGGTAGTTGTTTACTTAGCTGATATTTAGTTAATTAAATTCAATCTTCTCTTTTTTAGCTCTAGTTTTCTTTTGGTGAAACAAAATATCCGAGTGTGTATTAAGAACGACACTAAGAAATATGCTTCACCAGTGACCAATTATTCTATAGAGGTCGGAAAGTTGGGGCATCACGAAAAGCATTTCAAACAGGTTGCAAACCTTTGTCAACAGCTGTCTGAGCCCCGTATCTTGAATCAAATGTTCGGAAATAGTCAATCACAAGAGATTTTAGGAGAAAACTAACCAACGATCTATCGCTCAACGAATAGAGTGAGAATGATTGGGCACCTGCTGAGGAGACCGTCAAATGACATCATGCGCCAAACCAGCGCTCGAGTGGAACTCGAAGGGGAAACGACGAGTCAGGTATGTGTCCTGGGGTGACATGGAGAAAATCGTGCGAGGATGAGATCAGAGGCCACGGATAATTGTGGGGCAACTAAATAGGATTGCAGAAAATAGGACAAATAGGACGTGATGCTGAAGCCATGTTCCACTCGGAACCCAAGACGACAACAATAATAATCAGTGATAAGAAGTAAGTTTGCCTTACACACATCACTTTCATGAATAACAATAGACAGAAGAACAACCATTAAATATATATGCTTGGGAACTTCGAGAAAGGGGCGAATTATGCTCTCCACTTTTTAAATTCCACTTCTCTTGTGTTACTCGTTACGACAGCTTACACATGAACTTTATTTCCAATCATGCTTAATAAAGTCAATTTTACACTGAGGTGGTCAATCAAGGTTATATATTTTGAGGTCGCTTTTCTCCAGGCAGCTTTACTGGCTTGCAGTTTCCCGCATTCAAGAAGTACCTTTATTTTTGTGTGGTGGTCACTAGGCCTGATTAGGATGACAATATGCAATATGCCGTAGTCTACACTGTACAGCAAACTACTTTCTATATAGAAATTACGCTCATGCATATCGGGACGGTGCTGCATTATACTCAGTTATTCTACAGCCCATCAAGGCAACTAACTTCATCCATTTCGCCGACTCTAGTCCGACATGTCAAGAAACTCAGATATTCTTATTTCCAGTAGTGCTCCTCAAACTTGGACTTGATTCTAATGATAATAATAATGGTTTGCCCTAATCCAAGACAGTATTTATGATACAGGATGGAATCCACAGCATTCTGTATAGTAGTTTCTTCCACAATAAGGATGTTAACTTCATGTTGCATCTTTCATCCTTAATACGAAGTTGTCACAACATTCTTGCCTCTAAGTTAACAGCTGCAGTATCCTAGGCCAAAACAAATGCTCGACCAATACACACAGAAAGCTGAAATAAGTGCTATCATTGCCACAGCTTTGTTACAGTGACCCGACAAACTTCGACCAATGATTCTCAAGGCGTTGAAACCCCACAGAGCCAGCTATCATCAAAATATCGCCAATGGAATGTTTCCCCGTAGCTGGATAGGTGCGATGCGGACTACTATCCAAAAAGGAGGATGTAGGTACCGTAGAAGGGGTCAGCGAAGTTCGCCAAGTCAATCGAAACTTCGATGATCAGTTTCCTTGTCTGTGCAAACTGGAACACGCCAACAGGTTAGGTGGGCCAGCCTAAAGAATCTGCGGGTAGTGTGGCTAGAGCTCAGGTCTAGCAGGATGGGTGGCCACAAAACAACCATGATCGTTACTTCTAGTGGAAACCAGCTGGAGGCAATATCAAAGTCCCTCGTGCAGCCCAACTAATAAGTTCATAGGTTGTCATTTAGACTAGAGGCCTTTTGATCTTGCTAGCATCTTGTTAAACAGCCCGAAAAGGACAATCAAGAAATTTACCATACTATATTTGGAAAACAACTCTGTATTATCCAATGGATAACACGGCTCGTGAGGAAAACAATCCTGCGTGCTAAAACTTCTCACAGAAAGGCAAACATGGGGATGGAAAGAAACCCATCGTCTTTGTTTCCACAGATTTCAAAAAATTTCAGCAAATATTTTCATAATACTGTGTGGTCCACACTTATCAGTCCTGCATATTAACAAGTTACCTGGGTTCACCATATCTCCTATGGTACTCCACTCAGACGACATGGGGATTTAAAGAAAGCTGAGAATGACAAATCCACGTTTTCTACGCAGTTAGGTCTGAGTCATCCTTAGAAATTATTCACACAACCGGTGTTTTCTTCTAACGTAAAATAATGTGCGTCCAAGCCCATTGGACGCGCCGAGAGTAGGCTGTATGACAAAGATGTACTACTACTGCCGTGAGTTAAACAAAAGCCGATGTGGGTGGCATAAGAAATGATGGCCTCAACACTACTTCATACTGTCACCCAGTCACCGCTTAAATCTTTTCATGCTGGCAGGGAACACGAGGTGTCTTTATTGTAATCAACAGGGAAAGCTAACCACTTTAAGCACACCTCTGGCGAAATGGAAACTAGAAAATTGCACTTGGGTAGCCGGCTCTTGCCCAAAATAAGACTCACATATACCTAACGACACCCACAGAAAGGCCACGTATACGACTCATGGTATGGAGAACCCATCACATAAGGATTTGACAATCTAGACGTCTTCTCATTTCCAGGCTGTAAGCAGAGTCACAATATCGCCAAGGTATTCAAAATTTTAAGGAACGATCATGTATCTAATGCATTTTATCTTTTCCTTCCTGCCAGTTGGAAACATTCCAAGGGACGAAAAGAATCCACAAGCCAATGGGAAATTGATCATTGGGGAATATTCTTCTTTCACCTAGTTACTTACTCTCAAAACTGATCTCCAGGAGTAGAGGTACTTAAGTACTCATAAATATTGTTTTCTCCACAGAAACACCAAATTATTATCAACAGATATATCTATTATTCTATTAGCATGAGTGAGATATTATTGAAGGTATCGGTACGCCAAAAGTTTTTCTTTTCCTTGGTAAATTTGAAAAGGTGACAGTTAAACAAGTTCTGACATCCTAAGAAATACTACCCTTCGAATAACTGCGAGAGTGACTGTGGAAGAATTAACAGAGCTGTGTCCAGAAAAATCCCCAGGATAAGACTATATCAAAGTCGTGGCCCTCAAGCAGCGTGTTGTAGCCCAGTATGTTCCGCTAAGTAAGCTGTATAAGCACATACATGAGTCATCGGCAAACTGGAAGCAGGAGATTCTACTGCCTAATTTTAAAGCAGGGATCAGCAAAATTTTCAAGTGCTGTGGACGGGCAGTTCAATCGTCAGAAGTGTCACATGCGCTGAAAAGCTTGTTGGATCACCAAATCAATTATTCACACAGCGGTTAGGACTCTCGCTGACCATCCACATGGTACGGGGTTCGATCCCTTGCCGATGCACACTTGATGTCAATGGTCGACCTGCAAAATTTGGACTACCGATATAAAATGCTGGAAATTCCATACTTGTACCAAAAATGCGGTGTGGAATCAAGCTGTAATCAAAATTTTAAAAATATATGGAAGTTTACGAGATACATTGTACTGGAATTAACCGTAGATCTAAAAGGGCATCGAAACAAAAAGAAACTAGAAATCATGGGAATTATTCATGCTTATCAAAATGAAATTGGACATTGGATACCACCGTTTATTGGAAGTGCAGAGTTGGAGTTCACGCATTAGGAAGCGCCACTTTTAGCCTTGAAGGTAAGATCATGCTGCAAAGTTCTTGTTAATGTATGAATTGTGTTAGGTTTTTCCATCACTATCAATGAGTAGAAAGGTGTGTTCCGCTACGTTTTGTTGAACTCTGCCAACTGTCCATCTAGCATCTACAAGCATTATTTATTCTACATGTAATAGGTATCTCGAATTGAAGCACCGTCGGTTCATATCCATATGATTACTAGTTTGCTTCATATCTACCATACTTTTCCCCAGAAGTCATTGAATTGTCGGCCAAGGGTAAGATCATGTGTACAGGATAGCCTTTTTAACAGGCTGAGTGGACAGTTAGGATGTCGAAACACTTAAAACTCCAGACTGCTGCTGACAGCCATGGCTGTAAGCAGGTTTATTTGTAGGCGAACTGGCTGACAGACCTCAATGAGCTACATCCATGCATGTAAAAGGGAACTCGTGAAATGCCTGTATTAGTATATGAAGTATATTTTCGTTGGAGTTACAGTTCCTACAAATTTATTTCAATCTGTACAATTACTCGGCGTTGTATCTCAAACAAAAGGCTTTGTTTTGACATGTTTGTGATGCCCTGCACTTCTCACTTACTTCTACTCCATTGTGTTGTGATAGGAGTGAGGTGATCGAGCCATGTTAAGTGCTACTATCCATCGTTGGGGGAAATATTCACATGTAACTATATTAGTATGATATATTCTGATGTCTCAGAACTTCACTAGGTATCTAAATATCTGCGTTTAGTTTGTTACATTCCAATGATATTTCACTTTGGATTCTAGTTCTTTTTTCAATTTCTCAAGCGTGTTTATTTTTCTTTGCAGGTCGTTCGTTATAATGCCATTTGTTGACGTTAGTGATGGGGATAAATTACGGAAACTAATAGAAAACGAAAGGTAATTGTTATGCTGATGTAATTTTAAAGTATAGAAAGTTGGTGTTATGCTTATCAGCACCTAATACACCCCAGTGTGTCCAAGTTGATGAAGCTCTGAAAACACTTAATGAAGACTCAGTAAACGCAGAAATTACATTTGTAAATGTAAGTTTACACACACATTATCTGTCTTATGGCGAATGCAGAACAGTTGACTCTAAATTAAAGTGAGCTGTTTACAATTTGCCGAACATTAACTACATTTTGACCTGACCGGCTGACTGAGAAATTCAGTGTGGTTCTCATTTAAATGTTACATATGTGATTAGGCTACCGAGTACTACTGCAGTTCATCGATTTCCTATCCTGAATGTGGATTGCGAAGTATTTAATCAGACTGTTGTTACTAAATTTCAGGTGGATGCGGAAGCCGTTTCTGAGGTTGCGAAACAGCTGAAAGTCAATTCTGTTCCCACGGTTTTATTTTTCCTGGTAAGCAACTTGACCCTTTTGATTGTAATCCATATTAATCACAAAAACAATGGTGTGACATTGCTAAGAAAGGAAGCTACAGACTAATATGATAGTTGATGTTTGTCGAAAATATATGAAAAACCAATAGCAGTCGTGTCTTACTACACTAGATTGTAAAATTTAAAACTTTCCTTTTGTGTAGATATGAATTTTGTAACTAGATGCCTGGATCTAGTTCCACCGTATTTTTACTAGATCAGTGCTTTAACATTTTGATGTGCAGTTGAAGTGTTTCGAAGTTTGAAAGCTTAATTGAAGCACTGTATAAAATGCAGTCACTATGAAATGTCGGCTTCAGTCACAAGGAACCAAGTTTAGGAAGCTCGATGTACGTTGTTGGTTGGGATACGTACACGACACTCCTACACCCTAATCATTCAGTAAAACAAAATTATGATATGGTTCCAGTTTATGGTTTTGACAAATGGCCTTAGTCATGTAGATAAGTTTAGGAAGTTCGAAATATCATAGAGTTGCAGAGACATATCCCCACATTATTTCCTGATAAATATTCGCACACTTCATTACTCTGCAGAAGCACAACTGTTTCTGTGATCAACACTGATCTTGACTTCTACCATTTGTTGACTTTTCGCAATACTTGGTAGCAAGGTGAACTAATAAGGTATGCATACGCATGTCTAACTAAGTAAATAAATTAACAATATCAGTATATACCCCAAAAGTGAGTCCAAATGCCTTCAAAAGCCAGTTCTTTCGGTCCAGCAAGAAGTAACAGAAAATTGATAAATTTTAACATATGATCGATTCATTCAGATATCTGGTTTCAGATCGGTGGATTACTTTGACTGCTAATCACGAAGTTTCAAGAATAAAGTGACATCAGCCTTCTAACAGTAGATATGATTGTCGATAAGCGCACAAACGTACGTGGTTATTGAGTTACATTTTATATTTGAACTGAAAATAGTAATTTATCCAACGTCCCACTCTTTTCTCGATTAAAAAAGGTAGGTAAAGAAGTGAATCGCGTTTGTGGCGTAATTATTCCTGATATTACAAAATCTGTAATCAATTTAAGATCAATGTCAGTTAATGGTTCCTCCAATGACCTGTCATCTCGCCTTCAATCCTTGATTAACAAAGCACCTGTTATGCTTTTTATGAAAGGCAATCCTGATCAACCTCGATGTGGCTTCAGTCGTCAAATTATCGAGATTTTGCGTTCAAACAATGCAAAATTTGAAACATTTGACATCTTACTAGATGAACAAGTTCGACAAGGTTTGTATCATGCATGTGGAATGTTAATCTAGAATTTTTTTTTGAGATACTTTACCTTCCGTGTTTTCCGCAAAAATCTACATAATTCTATGAAACCCGGTCTTCAGTAGGTGCAACTTATCCATATGTAGACAATGAAAGATCAAATTCCCACGTCTCTATTTACTCTTCCATGTTCTAATTGTCAGAAATGCAGCAACAGACTATTCCTTCATTTCAACGTAAAGAAAAGACTCCTTTATTCTGTCCCACCCATATATTGTTTTAGAACTATCTTGCACAAATGTCTAGTATATCTAGCACATGAAATTCTTCTACACTGTTCAGAATATCACTGATTAATGTCCTATACAAGAATATGAGGCTAGACTGGAGAAATAAACCACTTGAACTTTTCAACTGACATCATTCTCTCTATAGTTATCTAAAGATAAGCTTGGTATGCATCATGTTGCTCTGCCTAAGTACTGTGTTCAAATTCGAATATATCTGAGCTGCTGTTGTATAAGTCAAAAGATTTAACTAGTAAAAACTAGCTATCTGACAGAACACAGGTTCGACTTCAAGCTGTATTTGGCATCATTTTGGATCAAATCTGGTGTTATCGGTTGTCACAAAAAGCGTATCGTCGATTGCAGGTTTTTCGAAGCACTTCAAAATGAATAGTCTAACGCTTGTAATGCACAATTAAAAGCTAATAGTACTGACATCTCAGTGTCACATCTTACCATTCTGTAAGAGTTAAAATATTTTTTAACCTGTTATATACTCTTGCTGTACAATGAATACGTGTAGCGGTTAAGAAGTAAATTGGAGAATAGATGTCAAAATGTAGTGTTTTTAATTGTTATTACCACAGTACATGATTGTTGAAAGAGTGTATGCACATTCTTTGCAAGTTTTACGTTGAAAGTTCATTTCAGTATACACCTACGTAACTGTGATAGCTCTTTTCATGACTATACATTCCTCGTCATTTTCACCCTCACAATATATTCTAGTTATAACTATTTTTTGTGTGGCTTCACTGACTTGACAACGTAAATCTTTGCTCAAAAATGCATCAGTTCAGTTTTGTCATACTTCAGAAAACTATGCACAAGTAGAGAAAAATGTAACAAAACTGTATTAGATGTGAACATATTGGAGACAAGATAATTACATGATCAGTGAAGATTTTCAAACTTCGGAAGACAATAAAGAGTGAAAACATGCACGATTGTTAACAGCTTTGAATCATATTACCAATAGTATTCGGTCTGTGACTTAGCCTCTAAAGTACCTCAGCCAGACTGCCTACACCTTTCTACGTGGTGTGACTTTATGTCGGCTCGGTTTGTCGTTAAACGTAAATAACTAAATGTTCTTTTTATCAGTGTAAGCGGAATACGATGGGATTCATTCTACACACTCTCAAACATCTTTTATTCGATTTTAAACTAGTTTAACGAGAATAACTATGTACTGTCAAAATGTCTCTCGAATCATTAATGAAGTTGCCTATTCATTTGGAGTCGAAAACAATATTTCATTAATTTTAACATTTGTTTGGCGTGATTTTCAATTTTTTCCTCCTTCAGGTTTAAAAGCCTACTCAAACTGGCCAACATATCCCCAATTGTATGTGAAAGGTGAATTGGTTGGTGGATTAGATATCGTACGAGAGTTAGCTGAATCTGGAGAATTAGCGTCGATGCTTAAAGATCTGTGAATTTGTCATGTAAAAAAGAAGCAACTCGTATCCCTAATAATAATAATTGTATTTCTTCTATTTAACTTCAATATACTTATATTGATTTTGTGAATCTACTTTTTGAGCTTGCTGCTAGTCTCGACTTTCTCACATTGAGTGTTCGTATCAGTTTTTATGAGTTATTTGAACAGAAAATTAATTTAGCAATAATTTAGCTGTATTAACGGAAAAGACTGAGTAGTTTACCAGTATCAGACTGTGACACGTATAGCCATATTCCTTCTATATCCCATATGCCGTTACTTGGATGGCTGCGCATTTCACCACGTTGATGAGGAGTTTCCAATCTTTGAACTTATCTAAGAGAAAGTTGGGATATGTTTGCAGCGTAAGCCTGCCTTTATGATCCTGAACCTCTGTCCAAATCTCTAGGTCACCTACTCAGAGTGCCCCAGGGTATTGTTGAGCCCTGACCCCGGAGGTACATATTTACGTACGTTGTCCAGAAAGAGTCTGTAGTTAATCTTCACTCTATTTTTTACCTCCAAGGAATTACTTCATCCAATAGAGTATTCTGTTTAGTTGCATGGGCAAGCTTACGTGGGGTAGTTTCGCTTGACTGAAACCTATGAAAGCATTGTTGTCCCTAGATATGACCCGGCTTTCTTTAGCCATGAGAAATACTTTCAGATATGAAGAGCCTCTCCGAATGCTGTTCCGCCTTGAACAAGATGTTGTTTTCCAAAATCGCTACGACAGCTTCCTTGATTATTTTTTTCAGTCTGTCGGTTAAGGTGATGATAAAACTAATAGGCCTGTAGTTTGAAGGACAGTGTCTGAGACATCTCATATCGATAGGGGTTACTGTTTCGTTCTGTCAGCCAAGTGTTAACACTATGGGGGAGAGATAGCCCGGAGATAGTAATCAACGAGCCGGTTATGTGAGGTACCAGCTTTTTGAGGGGCGTTTGGTAAAGATTATGGGGTTTCATTATTTTTCGTGTATCTAGTTTGTTTAAGGATCCGAACAAACTCGACATCGACAGAATTTATCCTGTTTTCTTGTGGCGCGGTCAAAAGTGGTGGCGATTCTTGTGTAAAGACTAGAAAAGTAGTCTTACATTACATCGGTTTTTCGCTAATACTTAGTTGTGGCACAGTGGTTAGGACTCTCGCCGACCATGCACATGGTCCGGGGTTCGAACCCCTGCCGGCGCACACCCGATATCTATGGTATACCTGAATTTGGGCAACCGATATCCATGCTGAAAGTTCCACACTTGTACTGAAAATACGGTGTGGAAATCAAGCTGTAAATCCAAAAAAAAATAATGAGGTTGCCCACTCCGCCAGTTGTCTTGTTGCTGAAGTTCGTGTACGAAAACGATTTCGTGTGTTTTATTGAATTTTTAACTAGATTCACTTCGAATTTCATCCGTTGTTGATGAGACGCTGCAATAGCCTTGTTTCTTGCTGCATTGTACAGTTTCGTGGCATCTGAAGTGTAGAAGGTGATCAACACTTTCGAGCACTTGTGTTGACGCCTAAGTAGTCTACAAGTCTTCGGTTTTATCCATGGAGGGTATTGTTTTCGACCGGAATTCGGTTGCTCAGGCGTAATATTCATTGAATTAGCTCCAAGATGCTTTTACATGACCTTCAAGGTTTGTATTTCAGTCTTTTGATGGGGCTACATAAATGACAGCAGTTATATCCGCTCCCCGCATTTTTGGTCGAGCTGATGTTTTGGTCTGGGGTACTGTAACAGCTGTAAATGTAAGGCTGGACATAGCGTGGTGAGCTCGTAGACCATTAAGCCACTGGGACCCGATACAATAGCCCATAAATTCCAACTTCTGCCAATTTACGATGTAGCGCGACCACTAACCAATGTCATTGGCAAGTATTTGTCCTCAAACCCGACCTTCGGCACTCCACTGGTCATGATACCTTAAGACTGGAATACTGAAGAGGGGAGCTATGGTTGTTTTCCTCTATACATTTATGACTAGTTGACCAAAGTCAACGAAACTTGAAGTAATTTGTAATTAAAAAAGAGTTTCTTATACCTACACCATATACAAGTTTCCGGAGTAGTTATTATGAATAAAACGAGATAGTCACTGCCCAGTAACCCAGGATAGATTTTTCATGCACTAGGCAGTTAGCCACATATATTGTGTAATGTTCAATGATACTACCTAGTTTTCCAGGTTTAAGTAGGTGAAGTGAGGCTCAAACCTGGGACCCAGTTATTGAAAGTTGAGTGCTTAAGCCGACGAGTCACACTCCTACAACAAGACGGAATGCTTAGATGAGATTAAAAGTAGACGTAGTAATCATTTTAAATTCCAGATGATCTCAAACAGTGTACAAAAGGAACATATGATAGTGATAACAGTGAATTAATTATTGAAGTAAAAGTAAAATTTAAAAAATAAACTTTTTTTTACAGGGAATGATGACTACTGAAGAGGTTAAGACCATGGCAGAATAAGGGAGTGGACAAACTTTTTCTATATAAAGAGTTCGGGGTTGTATTGACGAATTGCAGCGTCTCCGCCATACACAAAAATGTCCAAACCTGACGCCCTTTGTACCATTTGACCTCACCTTGTAGATAGTCTTGAAAGACTACTGTGGTGGAGCTACGTGGCTTGAGTCCACCACTTTCACACCCTCTTCACTCTTGTTAAATTGAAAATCAACTACCTTTATTCTCACTTAATAACAATTTTAACCTTATCAAATTTCTAACCTTTTCTTCCTTTGTGCCGTTGAGTACTACGTAATTTACAACTTTTATTTTTACTTCTAAAGCCACTTCTGAGTGATTATATCAATTGCGTCACCCCCTATTACTCAATAATGGACTGCTATACATTTTCGGTAAATATAAATACGACTGAAGACGATTTCGTCGATAAAGAAAATTTTCCTCGCTGAATTGTCTTTGATTTTCTTCATGACTCAATGGATATTTTCAGGGGTTTGAAACAGAGCAAGAACCCTGTGACAGTGAAAGAACTTGATACGTTTCTTAAGTTTTCTGTCAAGCTTGGCGTAGTGAACACAAGAATCAGGTTTCTAAAGAGCTGTATTAATACGAAAGAATATTCCAAGCCCTACTGGAAGTGTCTTCGTGACAATCATATATCCACCCAAATAATTTCAGAGTGCTTCGAAAATCTACAGCAGATTTACTCCGATATTATTAAACATCAAAATATATAACTGTCAAATAATACATAAATTGAAGTGAACTTGTCTGAAAGTCACTTGTCGATAAATATTTGTACTGACCGAATAAATGTCATTCGTGTACTAATTAATTATATATTTTATTGTTTTTAATAAAACGACCCACTACCCTGTATGTATTTATAATCACACTAATTCATTTGTTACAACTATTCACTGACAAGTGATCTACCTACAAGTTACCTTTATTTCATACACTATTCGGCTATATATCTTGATATTTAGATTATGAGATTTTTTTATAAGGATTTGGATTGATTTCAAGATAGATTTCGTCAATGTCAGTGTAGAACTTGGCCACTGTGGTAGAATGTAATTCCATATTAGATAAGCTTATTTTAAATATCACACAACAACGTGGTACTGACAACTGGCTGACGTTTTGAGCACGAATTATTGCCACTCATAATCATATCAATTTTAGTCACACGATTTCACAATTTTTCTTATATATATTTTTGTCTCTTCCTGTCGCTCCGATTTCCCTTAGTTGTTTGTTGCCACTTGGCATATCTCTGGTATAGGCGGTGTTGCGTCATTCCCATCGCACGTATGTGGTGTTGAATCGATAAAAAAAGCTTCAGTGATTAACATCTCTATACACCTAATTATATTGCTTTTTAATACTCTCACCCTCTCCCACTCTACATGCAAATGAATGCAGTGCAATGGCTAAGCTTTTTTCTAAGTTATTTAACTTAGCAGGGTCAATTATTCGAGGCCTAGCTAAGTCTTTATGTTCCGATAATCTAGTTCCCCAGTGGAACATAGGGCTTCAAGCTAGTGGCTTGAAGTTTCTGTAGCAGTGTTTATTTTACAGGATGGGGTTGCTAACCTCATACCCAACCTTTCCTTTTTACCAGCATTATTTCTGGCTCAGTGAGGTAAAGGAGTGCGTCAGCAGGGAATCGAACCCCGGACCATGTACATGGTCGGCGAGCGTCCTAACCGCTATACCACCGACGCACCATGGTATTTGGTAAATTATATTACTTTTCTTATCAGGCCTAGAAACCGGTATTTTGTGACAATATATACAACAAACGGACGTATACCTAATCTCTTATCTCCTCTTCGCCACATAATCTCCTCCATATCACCCTCGCACTGACAACCCATTTATTGCTCTCCATCGGGATTCCACTCGAGCTATGGCCTGCATTGCGCACGATGTCATTCGACGGTCCACCTCCATTTTCTCCTGCATAGTTGTTGAGCGATTGGCTCTTGGTTGTTTTGTTCCCAGAGTTTCTTGTTGCAAAATGTTTCCGGCTATTTGATCTTCAGTATGAACCCAGTGAAGGCATCTGTTGACGAAAGTCTGCAATCTGTTGGAAATCCTTTTCGTTACACACAGTGGAAGTTTCTGACCCGTATAGAAAGACCGACTTGACATTGGTGTTGAAAATGCGAATCTTGTTCCTTATGCTGAGTGCAGAAGATTTCCAAACTGGTTTCAGGTTATTGAAGGCGTATCTTGCCCTGGCTTTGACATTTTCATCCGTTCCACCTATAGTTGAAACTATGCTTCCTAGATAAATGAAGGAGGTGACCTCTTAAATATCTCCCGTTGATGGGGATTGTTGCTGGTTGTTGTTGTTGTTGATGTAGCGGTTCGTTGGTTATCGTCGTCACCTCCGTCTTCGCTATGTTCACCTGCAGTCCTATCTTCACCGCCTCTTCAGCCAGTTTGTTTGTTTTCGCCTACAAGTCTTCCAGTTTGTGTGACATTTAACATAAATTATCCACCTGTGAAATCCAGATCTTCTAGAGTCTTCTTACCAGTGGTCCAGCGTATTCCTGTCTCCTCGTTCCCCATAGTCTGACACATAATCCAGTCCACCACAATGAAGAATATCGTCGGTGATAATAGACTGCCAGCCTTGTCTTACTCCTGTATGCACTTCGAACGCCTCGCTAAGTTTTCCATTGTGGATCACCTGACACGTGGCATTGTCATATATCCAGCTGTTGAATAAGGTTGATAAAGACTTGAGGTATGCCGTAGTGTTGAAGTAGTTTCCAAATTACTTTCTGGTCAACACTGTCGAGGGCCTTCACAAAGTCGAAGAAGTTGAGGTACAGGTTTGGCTGCCATTCTATGCTTTGTTCACTGACGATGCGTAGAGTTGTTTTGTCCTAGTTTGGAACTCTGCACCAATTCTCACTCACAACTCTACCAGGGATCGAACCGAGGACCCTCAGGTTACTAGGCCAAGCTCGTTCGCCACTCAGTCACCTCTGGTCAGATATCAATGACCAATGAACTCTGACTTCTGTGAATTTGTGATGATATAACCCTATCCTCAACCAACGCCTTTAGTAAGCATCCAATTTACCTTGACACGGTTGATCCCATTGGCTACTCTCCTTCTCAGTACAGATTCATCCAGTTTTCATCAAAAAGCTGGAGATTGACATTTAGATTATAGACTTTCACAGGGATGTGGATTAATTCCAGACCAGATATCGCCACAAACTAACCAAAAACAGAACGAAATAACTGTCTGTCTAGTGCTCCACAGTTTTCTAGGATCTCTAACTCCTACTGACTCGTGATGGAGTTTACACATCAATATTTAACAAAATCGAAAAGTCTGTGGATTACACAACGAAACATTCAGATAAAATCCTGTTTTGATTTTCTAAACAAGTTGGGACTGTTTTAAAATAATTTTACAATAATGACACAGTTGTTTTGATGATTTAATAGTGAATAAGTGTGTATTTAAAACTTAATACTTTAATCGAATGGAGTATGATATACAGGATGTCCATTCGTACTCAACCGACATGATGATTCAAATATATACCTTAATTTATGTTCAATGAATGACTTCCTGAGGAAGCCAGAGATATCATAGATGATCACTAGTGTGAGTATTTATGTGCTTGGTGTTTATTCAATATGTAATTGACTTCTACATACATCAGACAAACATTTATCATTATTTAGAGAACCGACGGAAAACTAGGAGGTACTGGCCAACTCTTTTGTCCCAGTTTGGGACTCTTCATTTGTACGCACCCATCGGGGTTTGAACCCAGGAACTTCTGGTTACAAGGTGAGCTCGTAGACCATTCAGTCACTGAGACAAGACCTAATGGCCCGTAAATTCTAACTTCTACTAATCCGTGATATATGTAGCTCAATCACCAGTCAATACCACCGGCGAGTAACTGTCCTCTTGCCTGACTTGGTGGATCCAGCTTCTCAAGAATTCTCAGTAAATGGATAGTAAGCATCAGATTAATCTCCAAGTGTTAGCATGCATGAACGTGATTGATTACAAGGCTTGAACACGAGATGAACAGTCCCATACTAGGACGGAACAGCTGTCCAGTATTCGTTGATTTTCTAGCGGTTTTCTAACTAATATCAGCTCTCGATCAAACTGATAATCAATCAAATCCCTGCAAAGCAACACTTGAAAACTTATCATTACATTTGTCATATATAAATTACATACACACACATACAAACAATTTGAGTTGAGGTGTTCAGGTCACACAATACGTGATCTGCATATTACCATTATCAACAAACAGTAAGCATATACCAACTTTTTGCTTTTATTCAAAGAAGACATATCGGCCGACTGGCTTCCAGAAAGCTTTCATCCTACCAGTGACATCGGTCATCTAGTCTTCTGTATTTTGGCAGGTAGCTTCTGTAGCGACAGTATGGTTACTTATAGGGTGAGGTTTCTATTCTCACACCCAACCTTCCCTTTTCACCGGGTTAAGTACTGGTTAGTAAACAAGGCCACAAAGTGGAAGCTCAGGATTGGGCGTGATATAATACTGGAGAACATCATGTGAAGAGGAAATGGACGGTCGCGGAATCAGTTAAAAACGACGGTTTCACTCGAGACTTAATGTATATACCATCTTGACAGACAATAGTAATTATCAAGAAAATAAAAGAAGTCACAAGACCCAGCACCCCTCCCGGTTATTTTCTTTTTACAGTCAACATTATTATGATAATCGCCACAGAGACAAGGAAGAGATAGAGAGAGAAGACTCAAGGTTTACACATAACGCCGTCTCATTCTTTAAATAGTGTAGCATAAATATAGACACAAATGATCGACATTGTTTGCTCGCTCGCTCACTCGCTGGCTGTCTCTTTGTCTTCCTCTGTCTTTAAAGAGTTTTGTTTAAATAAATGACATTTCAAGGAAAGCATTGAAAAAGAAGATAGAAAGCAAATAAACAGAATGACTGGAAAAAAATAAACAAGGAAGAAATTTTATAAAGTTTTTCTACTAGACTAAAAAGTATTATTTGAATGCATTGCACACTGTGATGATTGATGTCTTTATAAACTACAACACCGATTCGTAATGAATGTCTGTGTGTGTGTGTGATGTACGTGATTTCGATCAATTAATTGATTATTAATAATAGTAATAATAATAATTATCAAACTCGTTCATTAGAGTGAATGACGAAAATAATGAAAATATAGCAGTGATAATAGCAATAATAATGATAATAATAATAACAAAGGGCACAATGATCTTAAAGAGTCTTCATTAATCATGCTTTACTTGAACTGCTAGTTCCACTTGGAACCTTAACATATACATAACACACTATAACACACACCATTTTATTTCAATTACAATAATCATAGTAATCATAATAATAATTATTATTACTGTCGTTTAGTCGTTACAACCTTTTCTGACCAAAGTATTAACAATAATAATAATGATAATAGTAATAATAATCAAGAAGAGACAAGAATGTTATGGAATGCAGAAAATAACAATGCAGACAATAATATGAGAAATAAAAAATAGCATGATTTCTAGATTATTGATTGTGTCAAGAATATGCGGGCGGTTGCGTAACCCTTGAGATGATGATGACAGCAGTAGAGCACATCATGTAATATGTAATAATAATAATAATAATCATAGTAACAGGTGTATATTATTTGAGAGACGAAATCGGAGAGCTGTAGCACAATTTAAAGCTTCATTTTACATAACTGTTCACTACTACTTACTAAATGTTTTGGCAAAAATGTAAAACGAGAACCAAGAGTGACAAAGCCATACACATGCAGGCATGCATTCACTTTCCATTGAAATGAAAAAAAAACATGTAATGTAAAGGAGATTAGTGTTGCACGACAGAAACAGCAGCAGTAGAGAGACAGCGAGAGAGAGCGGGCGGGTTTGTCCAATGTATGAAATGCTTGTTAATTAGTTTACATAATATATATTCACGGGTGTGCATGTAATTATGTATGAATGCTCCTGTGTGTGTATGTGTGTCTGAGTGCTTAGGTTTGTAAATGATCCCGGTGAGGTGAAGCTTTTCAGGTGGTGTTTTTTTTCTGTTGACAATGAATAAGATGACAATTTAAAAAATAAGAGAAAGAGAGAGAGCGAGAAGGAGACAGAAAGAATTAATCATCCCTCCCTCCACTTCTCACTCTTCTTCCTCTTCGTCTTCATCTTCTTCCTCTTCTTCAGAGTCATCACTTATTACAACATCAGCTGTATGTGCAGCTGGGACATTTTCAAATACACCACTATGTGGACATTGTTCTCGCCATATATCAATCTATAAAACAAGAGTTGAATATCAAAACAATAATGATAATGAATGACTGTGAATAACTATACAAGTTTCCAAAAATGTATAAAGTGAAATAAAGGTACTTCTTCAATGTTGTCAGTAACCATATGATAGCCACTCCTTTACTGTTATTTGTAGTTCTCACCTTGGTGACCAGAGCAGACTACTCAATCTCCAATTGACAATTCGGAATTTACACTTCCCCTATTCTATATGCTCTCGTAAACGGAAAACTCAGCGAGGCGTTTGCAGTAAACACAGGAGTCAGACAAGGGTGCTTATTATCACCAATGATACTCCTAATTGTGGTGGACTGGATCATGCATCAGACAGTGGGAAACGAGAAGACAGGGATATCCTGGACCAACGTCAAGAACCTAAAAGATCTGGATTTCGCCAATGATTTATGTTTGGTGTCACACAAAATCGAAGACTGACAAGCGAAAAACGGTAAACTGGTTGAAGAAGCAGCAAGCACAGGACTCCAGGTGAACATAGACAAGACGGAGGTTATGAAAATAACCAACCAACAACAACAACAGCAGCAGCAAAATCCAGCGCCAATCACCATCAACGGGAGGGATTTGAAAGAGGTTACTTCTTTCACTTATCTAGGGAGCATTGTCTCAACTACAGGAGGAAAGGACGAGGATGTCAAATCGAGAATCGGGAAGGCGAGAAACACATTCACCAAGCTGAAACCAATCTGGAAATCTTCCGCTGTCACTCAGCATCAACAACAAAATTCGGATCTTCAATACAAACGTCAAGTCAGTCAGTTCTCCTATACGGATCAGAAACTTGGCGGGTCACCAAGAATATTTCCAACAGCCTGTTGCAGACCTTTATCAACAACTGTCTTCGTTCTATACTCAAGATCAGGTGGCCGGAAAGAATCACAAACAAGAAACTATGGGAACAAACAAAGCAAGAACCAATCGCTCAACAAATATGCAGGAGAAAGTGGAGATGGATTGGACACTCGCTGAGGAGGCCGCTGGGTAACATCGCGCGTCAGGCCATAGCTCGAGTGGAACCTGAAAGGGAAGCGGCGAGTGGTTCGTCGGTGCAAGGGTGACATGGAGGAGATCGTGTGAAAAGGAGTTGAAACAGCGTGGCCTAACATGGATGCAGGTGAAAAGTACAGCAAAAGATAGAAGCAAGTGGAGGCGTGCAGTTGAAGCCCTATGTTTCACTAGGAACCCAAGGGAGCAATAATAAATAAATAATAATAAACTGCTACCACTTCTAAACCGTATCTTCGCATTTCTTTTGCAATTTGGACGGCCTTTCCTGCCAATTGGCTCCAAACATCGTGTGGACATTCCATGTCCCTATGAGTACTTTCACTTTCACCGAAAGAAGACATATCAACCAAACGGGTTTCCGTCATTTCGTCTCTCCGATTCCACCGATGAATAATTTTTTTATATTTGTTTCCTGTGCTTTGAATTTCTTGAAACGATTTGACTGATTTCCTGCAGGAAGACAGCCGGCCTCACCCTCAAACATTCCACACATTTTCAGGCTTAGGAACGAAGAGTAAACACCACGTGTCAGGTAAAAACTCCAAGTGGAACCCGAATGAGGAACGACTAGCTGAGAATGGGTTCGAGGGCCATATGCAGAAAAATTCGTGTAAGGAGGAAATGAAAGCCTATGACTAATCATGAGATCAGCTAAAAGTGAATTCAGAGAACATAGTGAGCAATCAAAAATATCCAATACAGTCCCACAGGAGGTCAGTCACGAGCCTGAATAGCTCAGTGGTAACGTCTCTGACTGCAGCACTGGGTGGCGCGGGTTCTAATCTCAGAAGGGACATCAGTTCCTTCAAGGTTACAGATACGCCTTGCTGATGAGTGCCAACTAACACGAAACGTAGGTCCAAGGCTTCCTGCCGATTGCCTCCAACTATCTAATACCAACAATTCATAGTGCACCGTGATGGCGAGCTACCTAGCATGGTGGCCATATTGCAAACATGACTGATAGAATTCAGTCTGCACGGAAGATAGGACTAGACACATTACACTAGTTGCTGACTAGTATGCAATCAAACATAGTGAAACAGCAATATACTACTCGGAGCCAAAGGGGATAATAATAATAATAAAAATAATAATGTATTGGCATTGCAATGAAAGATAACTTGTTAACTTACTATTTCAGGTCTACTTTTATTTTTTTCAGCTTCTTCTAATTGTTTTTGACGTTCAAGAAAAGCTTGTTTCGCTTGTGAAGCATATCGTGCTTGTTTTGCTGCTGCATCATTACCATTTGTATGATTCTCATCAACTAATAAAATTGTCTGTAAACACAATATAATAGAAGCAAAATTGATGAGTATAGTAAAAGCAATACAAATAACAATATGCAGAATAATGTTAATTGTCAGTATTATATGTGAGAAGGTAATCGGCTAGGATACCTAGAGATAGGTTTTATGCCTAATATACATCCATAAGGTCTATTTTAAATTTCTCAGTATCTGAATGCATGGAGGATTTCATCACGAGCTGACATCAGTTAGAGAACCACTGGAAAACCTGAGAGTACTGGATAGCCAGCTCTTTCATCCTAGTTTGGGACTCTTCATCAGTACGCACCCACCGCCAGGGTTCGAACTGAGGACCTTCTGGTTACAAGGCAAGCTCGTAGACCACTGAGCCACTGGGACCCGATCCACTGGTCCTTGAATTCTAACTTCTGCCAATTCATGACATAGCGCGACCATTTCCCAATGTCTTCTTCGATGAATTACTGCCTCATCTTCAACCTGCTGTGCGCTACTGGGCACGGCTTCCCACTAGAACCCCAGGTTAACTGCCTGAATAGGGCCAGTCACTAGTGAGCATCAGATTAATTTTCAAGTATTGGTTTTGTAGGGATTTTGTTTGATTGCATGGAGGATTTCGTCATGAGCTGATATCAGTTAGAGAACCACTGGGAAACCTGGGAGTACTGGACAGCTGTTTCGTCCTAGTTTGGAACTCTTCTGAGTATCTAACGTTTCATTGGATATCCAAACACATACATCACTGATTACTGAATATATGTTGTCTTTAACAATTGGATCTAGGTGACTGAATCGTAGATAGCTGTCTTTCTCATCAGTGATACATCCAGAATGACTCAGCTCAATGAGTTGAATTAGTCTAAGTCATTCAAATTTTAGTTAAGCCACTTGGGTGAACGCATGATACAGGATTTTGCCTAGATCTAAAGCCTTCAGCAAATATCTTTAACTCTCCAAATCAAATATGCCATATCATTTTGTCTGTTTATTTCATTTAGACATCAAATGGGAAAATTCAATGGACTTTCTGACTGCTCACAAGCTTTCATATATTGTCTAGATGATCTGTTCCACGTCACCCTTGAACTAACGATTAACTTGTCAGTTTCCATTCGGCGGTCTGCATGGTGTGTGTGATATTAGTCGAAATACATCCAGTCACCTTAAAATTTCCTTCTGCATATAAGTTGGACAAAGGGTTGTTGTCTGGTTGCCTACCACACCAGCAACTTGCTGCTTGTCCATTTCTACCGGCCGTCTGAATTCCAGTATCGACTGAAGGAAGGTGTTGACGAAAGTCTGCACTATGTTCTCGGAAATGATTTTAGTAATGCATGCTTCTGTATTCTTCAGAGACTTAGCAGTCGAGTCACCAACAACAGACTGCAGACTTTCATCAACACCTTACTTCGCTTGACACTCAAGATCAGACTGCTGACCAGAAAGGATTAACGAGAAAAAAAACCTCTGGCAGTACAGGGAAATGATCAATAACATTTTGCTCAACATTTGCAAATGGATTGGACATACACTAAAGAGATATTCAAGTGATGTCACATTTCGGCGTGGCCTCAAGTCAAAGCTGAATGGGAATCGACGAGTTTTGTGTGAATCCATGAATAATAATGAGGGAGGTCATGAAGAGAGCAAACGAAAGCTTGTGGTCAGTTATCAAGTCATATGATGCTGATGATAGAAAACTGTGTGCAGTGTAGATGTGCTGCTGTCGCCCTGTGTTCCATCTGAAATTCAGAGAATGAATAAAAGTGATGATTCAAATAACCAGGAAACATCAGCAACAGGGATCTCTGGGAGTGAACAAACCAGGAGCTGATTATGCAACAAATATGCAGAAAGAAATGGAGGTGGATTGGCCATACTCTGAGAAAACCATCAAGTGACGTCACACGACAGGCCATCACTCCAGTGGAACCTGAATGAGAGGCGGCGATTTGATCGTCAGTGCGAGGGTGACATGGAGGTGGCCATGCGAAAAGGAGATGAAAGTGTGTGGGCAGATGTGGAGCCAGGTGAGGACGTTGGCGGAGAACCGAATGCAATGGAGAAGTGCGACAGAAGCCCTATGTTCCTCTAGGAATTAAAGGAAATAATAATAATAATGATTGAAATATGAAATTTCAACCAAATATACTACTGATTTACCTTATTACGTGGTGTACTTTCTTGACTTTTAGACGCTTCTTGCATAAATCGATTTTTAGCTTCTGATGCCCATTTGACTGAATTATTTGGATAATCATCTGGTAAGTCATCATCATAGCGTACCACATTATCACGACGAGTTGGTTCATTCTCATAAATTCCACTTTCTGCAGCATTAATATCTATCAGCTTTAGCCAAAGAAAAAAAAAAACAAACAAATAACAAACAGTTAATTTTAGTAATGACACATATTACTTTAGGTTTATACTGAAAATCAGATGGTAAACCAGGAACTTTGACAACGAAACTGTCAACAATCTATTACCCACCAAATATGCGGAAGTAAATGGAGATAGAATGAACCTTCAGTGTGCTATCACGTGCTAGTCAGACAGTGGAGTGGCCAGTATCATAGATAGCAATGAAGTTGAAACTAAGTTGAATGTTTTAGATACCTTGGATTGTGTATTTCCTCTGATCTTTCTTGGTCTCCCCACATTATGTTAGTCTCTAGAAAGATGTTTCGCCTTAAAGTTCTATGTAATGAAGTTGAGACAGTCTGGTATAACTCAGTCATTCCTTATTACTTGTATTCTACCTATTCTTCTTTATTGCCTCCCCTCCCAGCTTCATCTTTCTTGGGTTACTTAAGAAAGACTTCGTCATACTGCGAAGGGCACTAAAAGCTGTCAGTAGGATATTGTTGTAGATAGACACTTCAACTAATGCAAGAAATTAACGAATAGTGTCTCGTGGGACTCCGAGCCTCCTTTTTATACAAGACTGTCTTCTTGCATTTCATTAGGTAAGAAGGACTAGAAGCAACTATAAAAGACTTTATGCCCGGATGACTAAGTATAAAAACTATATGATTTTTTATTTGGCACACATTTTATGTGATGAGAAAAATGTAAGGATGACATTACTAACTTACTGCAAAACACTACTTAAACGGCCCAATTTATTCTTCCTTTCATTATTATACATCATTGTTTCTACTTCCACTTAAATTTTAAATTTATATTCATATTCTATTGAAACTGTATTATCAATGCATATATATTATTATTAATATAATTATTTTTTCTTTTAATTCCTAGAGGAACATAGGGCTTCAGCCGTGCGTCTCCATTGCGTTCGGTTCTCTGCCAGAGTCTTTACCTGGCTCCAAGCCTGTCCACACGTTTTCATCTCCTCTTCACATGACCTCCTCCAAGTCACCCTTGCACCGACGACCAACTCGCCGCTTCCCTTTCGGTTTCCACTCGAGCAATTGCTTGTCTAGTGATGTCACTTGATGGTTTCCTCAGAGTATGGCCAATCCACCTCCATTTTTTCCTGCCTATTTGTTTCACAATCGGTTCCTGGTTGGTTCGCTCATTGCCAGAGATCTCTGTTGCTGATCTTTTCTGGCCATCTGATCTTGAGTATTGAGTGAAGAAAGCTGTTGATGAAGGTCTGTAGCTTGTTTGAGATGCTCTTTATGACGCGCCAAGTCTCTGATCCGTATAGTAGCACTGAATTCACACATATATATATACGCATATATATGATTATAGCCGTATTTTCGGTACAAGTAGGGGATTTTTAGCATGTGATGTCGGTAGCCCAAATTTCGTAGGCCGACCATTGATTTCAAGTGTGCGTCGGCAGAGGATCGAACCCCGGACCATGTGCATGGTCGACGAGAGTACTAACCACTGTGCCCTGTTAATATTTTGCCCCCCTACCATGCAAGGTAAAGAGAAAATTAGGTGCAATAGTAAATTTCATGTTGAAACTTCCACATTGTATCAATAGTACTGTTTAGAAAAAGGCTATTATTATTATCTGTTCCGACTATTTTATTTTTCAACAGAGAACTGTGTGATTTACGATGGAAAAATCATGAATAATGTAGAGAAAAAAATGTATCGGAAGTTTACGCTGCTGAATAGTTTTGATATTGAAGAGGTGGATTACATGTGGAGTCCTTATTTTTATTATCTAAAGATTAAGTTCACAATGGTGCACCAACAGAGTGAAATTCAACTTGATCATATAACTAAGATTCATTAAAAATATTATAAGTATTGATGCTTTTTCATGGATGTTTCTGGAGGCTTGTTTAAACCACTGGGTTACACGTGTTTTATCAAGCATACTAAATATAATATTCTCAATTTCTTATTGTTTTAATCTTCTAATTATACCCTATGGATTGCGACATGAAGTTGCGCGAATTTTCAATGGATTTTTCAACTTACTTCTGTGCATTTAAACAAGAAAATGAAAGAGAAATGTAGGAAAGGAGTGAATTTTGTTTTTGATATAACGGTGTTGCGTTATACAACTCACTATGGATTAATATTTACTCGGAGATTCTACACACAGAGAGCAGATATTTTGCAAGGAATTACGGTGAGTATTCTGTAGTGTGTTTAAACATAATTTCCAGAATAAAACTGACATTATTATTATTATTATTATTATTAAACTTACTTTTATACTGTCTCTTTTGACAACAGAAGCATCAGCTGCCTTCTTTAAGAATAACTCCCTTCTCTCTTTAGCACTGACACCAGATGGTAAATCTTTCTTTATATCACCAGCTCTAGCGATATTTTCAAATTTCTCAGGTTCATTCTCGTAAACACCACCATAACCCTGAATAGTAATAGAAATAATAATGAAAAAAGAAGACGTATTTACTTAAAATGACGTCACGATATGAAGCTTACTGTTCTGTTCTCTAACGAAAATGCTAAATCTTAGTTTAGTTAGAATCATATATGATAATACTACATGACAAGTGATTCACAATGGAAAGCTCAAGGAAGACAAGAGTAAGACAAGGCTGCCTACTATTATTGATTACATTCCTCACTGTGATGGACTGAATCATGTTTCAGACCGTGGAGAGAGAAGGAGCAAGAATACGTAAAACAGGTCAGAACACTCTAGAAGACCTTGACTTCGTGGGTGATTTATGTTTAATGTCACACAAACTCGAAGATCCAAAGGCGAAAACCAACAAGCTGGAAGAAGAAGCAGCGAAAACAGAACTTCAAGATGAACACGGGGGAGACAGAGGTGATGATGATGCTTAACCCGCAGTAAAAAGCATCAATCGCCATCAACGGAAGAAATCTAAATGATGTCACCTCTTCCACTTACTTAGGCAGTATCATTTCAACTACCGCCGACACATATGCCAAAAAGCAAGACAGACCTCCATTACGCCGCAATCAGTGTGGAAATCTGCCGGCGCTCACCACACTTACCAGAACCTGGATCTTTAAAAATAAATGTCAAGTTAGTCAACATTCAAGTGACATCACACGCCATTCAAACTCTTGAGTGAACGCGTACGGAAACCGACGAGTTGGCCGTCCAGGGTGACTACGAGGAAATCATGTGAGGAGGAAATGAAGGCTCATGGGCAATCCTGGATTCAGCTGAAAAAGACTGCAGACAACAGTGTAACTGATACATCCTGTAGAAGCCCTGTATCCCACTGGAAACCCAGAGTGCCAATTATAATAACAAAATCTACATACTACTAAAATGTAAAATAAGTAGGCAAAGTAATTTTCTAAATTATATAAGTAAATATAAATGGTGAAATACGAAATTTTCTTCAACAATAAATTTTCTGTCTTATTACCTTAGAATATACTCTCTGAAAATCTGATTCACTAGTAGTTCCATTTCAAGTCCCATCCATCATATTTTATATCAGGGTTACTTTAAAGCAACTTTGTGACTCAGTTTGACAGTGATAAGTGAAATGAGTTATTATGTGTGCTATTCTTCCAAGAAGTCGTATGGGGAGCGGCAGGTTGAATGTCCAAGGATGAAATAGAGAAGATAATATTAAGGTGAACTGGGGCTTTCGGTTAGCTATTGAGTCAGTTAAAACTGATTGAAGATAACCAAGAAGAATGGAAATGTAATACTGTAGTCCTATGCGCTACTCGGAACGCACGGAATACATGATAAAGAATAAAGCAAGAATTGCACGTGGAGTAATTGAAGATCCTGTATGAAGTTGATAAATTTTAATAGGAATTGTTTAAATCGTTAACCAGTTTGTCAAATGGATTGACTTAAGAGGTATAGAAAATTCTGTATAAGACTTTGTGATAAGTTGGAGATAATTCTGACTGAAGGTAGTAGGTAACATGAGATGGAAGATTTCAGCAATTGGCAATGGAAGCAGGATAACTTTAAACCCAATACTTTGAACAGGTAAATTCCCTGTAAATCTTAAAAATTACTGTCACCAAGTGATTCGACAGTTTGAATGATTGAGGAAGAAGGCTTTTCTAAAGATATTTCATACACGAATTCCACCTTATGAATTAGAACAAAACAGTAACAACTCGTGCAGCTCCATGTGTATTAATTAGATTTGATTTTTTTTTGAGTATATGGAGGAACGTAGGGCTTGAAATGAGAGCTTTAAAGCCTCAGTAGGAGTGGATTTTTATGGGGTGGAGTTGCTAGCCTCACACTCGACCTTCCCTCTTTATCGGCCTTACTACCGGCTAAGCGAGGTATAGGAATGCGTTGACGGGGGATCAAACCCTGGACCAATTGCTTGGTTGGCCAGTTTCTGGAATAAACACTAAATCCACCTATCATGTAATATAATCGAATTAACCAATCAAATCCCAATCAATTGAACATAAAAGACATCAGTGGAATTACTTACTTCATGTATATCAAGTTTTGCACGTTCTGATGAAATATCTTTATCTGCTTTTCCACTTTCAATATCTTTCCAACGTGCTCTAGCAGTTCTTGTTGCTTCTGGTGCAACTGTAATTGATTCATCAATAAATGAACTTTTTTTACGATTTTCTTCATCTAAACTCTATTTATGTTTAAAATATAATTAAATAAGAAAAATGAAATAAATTTAGCATTGTAAAGTAGGTAGATTGAGTCAAAGAATTAATTAATCTTCTTCATTAGACTTGTTTTAATTTTGCAGGAAATTAGGAATTACTTGGCGGTGTGTTCAAATCACTGAGCTACCTAAATTCCCTATCGATCAAAATGCGTTATATTTACTCCACCCCATAATTTTTTAATGATCTAATTGCCATAATGAGTCACAGCTCATACTCGCTAATTATTTCAAATAAGTTTCTACCTTCCACTAGGAATTTCTACAAGGAAATGGAAGAAGAACATTGTGAAGCAGTACTTGAGCACATTTCAGGTGGAATAATACTGCTTCGGATGATATATTATCGAATATTAGATTATTTGAAGATTCTCCACAAGGAGTAAATATCTTGTAACGAAAACTGCTGAAAATGCTGTATTGTGTCTAAATGCACTTTTCAGAATAAAGCTATTATTATTAAATTATTATCAAATAAATTTTAACAGAATGAGAGTTTGAGTTAAGCGGTTCTGAATCACTATTTTTTCTTTTCATAGTGTACTGATGTACTGTATTGTACTCATTCATGTGAGAACATTTTATCTCCTATGTAATGCTTGTTCACTGTTCAGTGAATGCATGTTATTGACTTATGAAGCCATAGTTAAGCTGTTTCACTTGCTTCGTCCGTATGTATATGATACCTAACTATATTTCTACTTTTCTTGTTTGTTCCTAATGTTCCATTCTCTCCCATGACTTAAAACCCCCTCCATGCCTTCCCACAAAATTTCGCTTCCTCTTCAACTGATCTTCTCGATGTTACTTTCGGTTTCAAGCCTAGCTCACTGCTTCCTATTCGGGACTGATTGGCGTATGACACTACTCAGCGGTCTCCTCAGTGTATCTTCAGTCCACCTCCATTTCCTTCGACATTTTTGTAGGATAATAGCTCGTTGGTACACCTACTGTCAGAGTTCCTGGCTATTTATCCTTTCTGGCCAGCTATCTGATCTTCACTATGGAGTGAAGGCAACTAGCTGTGGATTACAGTTTACAAAAAGACCATCGGAAATGCCTTTCGTGACGTGTGCACCAAATCTCTGATACATATAGAAGCCAAGACTTCGGAATGGCGTTGCAAATCTAGATATTCTTCATTGCGATGGGAGAGAAAATGAGGTGTAAGCACAGTCGGGAATACAAATATAGTCTTTCACTACTGTGGTATATACATTTCACAAGTCAACTCTTGATAGACAAGTATGTGAGTACTCTGAGATGAAAACAAGAAAGACAAAGAAATCTAAGTTATGATACGTACTGCAATATTGTTTTGGCGGCCATTTTACACCATTACTGTAAGTGTAACTGTTGATATGCAATTTTAAAGTGCTAACTAATCTACCATTGGTTCTATGAATTGTCTTCTGTTATAAAAATGAAGATCAAACAGGGCCCTGAATTTTTGACGCTTTAAATTCCTCAAATGAATCATTTCTGACTTGTGCCATACAGAGAAAAAGATTCAAAAAATGTTGGTTTGCAAGGATTCGATTGATTTCCAGTTTATTCACGAACTGATTTCAGTTAGAGAACCTCTGAAGACGAAGAAGTACTTGGTTGATGTCTCATCCTAGTCTGGGAGTCTTCAGCAGCACGCACCCGTGGCACCACTAAAGATTGAACACAGGATCTTTAAATTATGATATGAACCAGTTGACCATTTCGCCAATGAAACGGAATTCTAACTTCTGACAGTTTGCGAAATATTGCTCAGCTGCCAGCTAATACCATCAGCGAGTATCTTTTCTCACACCCAACTCGGTGGAATCCACTGGTCATGACTTTCCACTAGAGTTGCAGGCGATTTTATCCTGCATTCAGTCACTAGTGAGCACTAGGTTAATATTCAAGTGTTAGTTTACACAGGCATTTGATTAATTTAAAGGTAGATCACGAAATAATCTCTGGTATGATCACAGGCATGTACTGATGAAGAGTCCCATACAGTGACAAAACAGCTGTTCATTACTTCCTGATTTTCAATGATTCTCTAACTGAATTAAGTTAGTGATTAATACTGAAATTCTTATTGTTGACGCCTTTGTACAATACATTTACATCTTATTTGACACTGATCAAAACACCCGCAAACACATTCGCAGAAAACTTGTAAACAAAAATTATTTAAAAAATTAAAAACAACTTACCTGTCCACCAGTAGCTTCCATATTTTTAAACTTAGCTCTTAAATTTTTTGTTTTCTCACTGATTTCTTTCAAATCCACCGGTTCAAACATATCATCCGAGGTGATAACATCTGGTGCTCTTGGTTTTGGATTACTTTCCAAGATGCCAACAGCAACACCATCTGGTGGAGGTGTAAACTCTTTCTGTTTTTTCGGCCCATTTTCTGTATTCCCCATTGTAGCTTTTGTAGCCTCTTCAATAAACTTTGTCTTAGCTGATTCAACACCAGCATATTTCATTTTAGGAGCAGATTTCTTCTTGGTTTTCTTCTTGTCATTATTAACTTCACCAGATTCAAATTTATTTCTTATATTACCCATTCGTCCACCACTGAGATTTGATGATCTTCTTTCAGAGTCACCTTTTTGTTTGTTATCTATAAATCACATAAAATTCAGTGAAATGGGACTACTATAACAGATGGATTCCACACATGCAAATAATGTAGAATGAGGCAAGCTTTTAACAGGCAGCTTTTGCAACTGAAACTTATTTCTCTAAAATAAAATTGACAATTTGGCTATTTTCATGAATCCCTTTTTTTATTTGTTTGAGTTTCGAGTGGAAAATAGGACTTCAGGTTTTAGGCTTTGAATTTTTACTAGCGGTGGCCTTGTTTTTATGGATTTGAGCTGCTGTTCTCGCATTCAACCTTCCTCCGTTTCCTGGGCTTGCTATTGGCTAGTAAACAAGGGGAGGTTTAGGAATTAAACCCTCACCTTCTGGATACCTGGTGAGCATTCTACAATTGTGCAACCGAGTCGCTAAGTTCATATCACCCAGTATTTACAGCCATTCATGTATGGAAATACCAACTTGGCTCAATGTTGCCTTACGTAATTGATCGTTACAGTAAACTTTTGAAAGAAATACTTATAACTACAATAAAAACTGAAAACTATAACTCAGAGAAATACAGTTAGATTAATTTATTTCGGCTATTCATATCAGTAGCTTTTGGTCTAAAACTTCTGTTATAAAATCAAAGAAAAAAGATGAACTATCCAAGCCAGGTTTTCAAGCATAAAACTGATGGAGTGAAAAGTGAGTAAACAAGTAGGAGCGGCGTCAGTAGCACAGTGGCAGAATGCTCGCCAACCACGCCACAGGTGGTCCGGGGTTTAGATTTCCGGCTGACGCACCCCTTTACCTCGCTAAGCCAGTAATAAGACTGGCAAAGAGGGAAGGTTGGGCATGAGGCTAGCAACCCTATCCCGTAAAAAAAATAAAATAAATAAAAAAACTTCAAGCCTCTAAACTGAAACCCTATGTTCCCCCGGAGATGTACAGGAAAAATAGTAAGTAGGTAAGGAATTCGCCTCGAGTCCTATTGATTAGGTGCTAGTCTAGTGATTCAGCAGTGAAATGCCGTAGTTATACTTTGAAAGGATGATTTTTTAATAGTGTAAATATACTAGAAAGCCACATGAACGAATTTCCTTTGAACGAAGCAATATTAGTTCAGAAATTTGAAGATATACAAGTGCAAACCAACGAGTTAAGAAAAGAGGCAGAGAAGACACGACTTCAAATGAACACACTGAAGACAGAAGTGATGAATACACCCAATCGACAACAGCAACAACAAACACTAGTCATCAACAATGCAAGAAATCTGAAGGAAGTGACCTTATCCTATCTTATCTTCCTACTAGGAAGCTTATCAATAAACTCACACGACTTTCTCAAACAGAAGCAAGATTCACAAACCAATGAAGTAAAGAAGTTGTGTGAGTAACTTGATATGATTATGAGCAATAGTTTGTGCTCGAAACGTCATCAGTTAATATAACTGTACAACACTGTGTGATTTATCAAAATAAAATCTTATCCATTATGGAGTTATACTCTACCACAGTGCCCAAGTTTTATACTTATAACACTAGGCATTGCCGTTTCGAGTATACTTAGCATGAATGAAGACGTCCGGGATCGGATTGGGAGAGCGAGGTAGCCGTTCATTGCTCTTAAGTCAGTATGGACGTCAACAAAACTTAGTACAAGGGACAAAATTTGGATTTTTAACATTAATGCCAAGTTAGTCAGCGCTTCCGCAGCTTTGCGACTTGTTGTACACGTCACTAAAAGCATTTTCGACAACCTGTTGCAGACCTACATCAATACCTGCCTTTACTGAATCGATACCGATGATCACATGACTGGCTAGAAACGGTTAGACCTTCAACTGACATCACACACCAACCAAACTGCCGAGTGGAATCTGAATGGGAAACGACAAATTTAGTGTGTATCTGAACGTGACACGGAGATCATATGAAGAGGAAATCATTGTGTAGGGTGTTTCCTGAAACTAGATTGATTCCTTTGTACCAAATAACATATTTGTTAGTCTATTCAAAAGTCGACAGAAACCTTTCCTTTGTTACTTCCATCTATGTCGCTGCTGATGCAGACATGTCGAAAGAATAAAAAGTAGGGCTCACTTTATATTTCATGAACACAAAATGAAGGATCTACGATTAAAAGGAAGTACAACTCTGAACAGTGCAGCCACACAGCATCAAATTAACTCACCATATCAGGTAAACATCTTGGACTCTTTCATGCGATCAAGCATCATCGAGTTTGTTGAAGATCACAGAGACCATAACCATCAAACAATTAAACTCTCATTCAGATATTCAAGAGTAAGTTGCAAGTTGTCTTTCCCAATCTTGGTCACCCTCCTCGTCACCTCTGACTGATTATATTATCTTTTATTAAATGTAAATGTTAGTTTCATCTCACTCTTACTTAGTAATATCATGATTTATTAAACCCTAAGCTTATTATGTCTAACACCTAACTTATTGAGCATTTCTTCACCATATGCATTTCGCCTTTTGTATTTATTGACAATTTATAGAGAGTCACGTAATCTTACATTTTTCCCCCTGAATTTCTCAATATTACCTTAGCCTTTTTTCTCGAAAAACGGTAACTGTAAACATTGCTGCCCAAGGTAAACGGATGTAATGACCTAAATTAGCCAATCAGATGAGCCTGTAGTAATTATGCACACCTTGAAAAACTTTTATAGACATCAAAGTCACTGTTAAAAGATAATTATACTAGGTAGCCTTCTCATATGCGTCCCAAGAAAACCTCCTGATTCCTTATTGGAGGCTTTATTGATCTTCGAAGCCCATTTATGTACATAAATTCACCCAGATAACTGAGTATCATGCTGTTTCGTGACTCATTCACTGATCTACAGCACCTACGAACCTAAAAAAGGAAAGATATATCTTCTAGGACAGATTTTCTATAACGGAGGGCTAGACATCTATACACGTATCCATCAACAGCGGCTGTATACCTCTGTAAAGATACTGCTTCTCCACATCTACAAGCTCCCTATGAGCCTATTATCCCTACAGTACTCAAGTACTACCTTCTGCTGGAAATGGCAACGTGCTACATTTACCTCATCTATATTTCCGCGCTTTTGGTATGGGATCATTTGATTGGCTGACCAGGGTCATTATGTCCGTTTACTTGGGTCCTTCGTTTGGGAGGCTTATGTTCAGAGTTACCCGAAAAAATTCAACTGTTTAACATTGCATTACAGCGATTCTTTATATTTTACCATCTTCAGGTTACAATTCATCTTTGCACTATGATCATTCTTAATCATTGCTTGACATTTGCTTCTCTAATGAAATGAATAATGTCAAAGTTGTAATGAAACTGCAAACTCTCTTTATTGAAGCTGTAAGAAAGTGACAGGATATAGATGAAATAAAATGGATCCGTTTCATCCTTATTCACGCGTTATTCCTGAATTTATTCAAACATTATGAAATTATATAAATGGATTCCACCCTTCAAGAAAACTTAACTTTTGCCTTATAACTAATAGTAAAATGCTTGTCAAACTGTATGCTTGTATCTATATACGTCTACTTGATGTTTTAACATGTAGAATGTCGGATTATGAGTTAAAGTTAAGTATGAAATAAAGGTTCCGTAGTTGACATAGCTTAATCGAGATGAATAATAGCCATATATTTACTGGATATAAGGTAGTAACTGTTATATGTCTAGTCCTTGCTGTTGGTGTAGACCGAATTGTATCAGTCAAGTTTGCATTGTGGTCAACATGTTAGATGGCTCACCACCAAAGTGTGCTCGGAAATGCTATAAGATAGATGGAGTTCCTTCAGGATGGTAGACACGCCTTGTGACGAGTAACAACAAGCACAAAACGTAGGTTCAAAGCTTCCTGGAAGTTGTCTCCAACCATCTTACAATATGTATATATATATATACCATCACTGGTTCATTTTCTTAATCAATAAACTGTTTCAGATTGAAGCATTTGTAGGGATTGTGACTAGTTTTAATGTGAATTTCGTCACGATTCAAAATCAGTTAAAAAATCATTAAACAAGCATTAATTTCTGGACATAAGTTTCGACCTGGCCTGGGACTCCTCAGCACTTCACTGCTATGACCCCACCAGCAATTTAATCCCGCAACTTCACTGGAAGTGGCCTCAACTTTTGAAATTTCAGTAACACTGCTGCTGAAAGTACTGGATAGTGTATTTCTAAACAATCCCAAACTAAGATGAAACAACAATCTAGTTTACCATGATTTTCAAAGATTCTCAAAATGACCTACTGACGACTGTTACCTGAGTTTATCACCGATTTTTGCAATCCTATTCAGTAAAAGCTACGCCCAATTAAGCATTGTATTCAATTAAGTTAATCAATTTTGAAAATATAAGACTGAGTACTTTTAAACAATAAGTTTCTCTTGATGAAGAGGCGACTTGTTTAAAACTTAGGCTACCACAAACCTCCATCACTATACTGCATATGATTTCTCTTGTTCAGTTTGTTTTAACAGATTAGAATATGACCTTCAATGGTATTATTTACTCTTGCGAGTTTGCAACTTCCTGATTCATCAGTTCTCACTAAACTTGAGAATAAGCATAATCCTGGATGGCAATGTTTCCCGTTTCATGAGACAACTGTTTTTGAGTTGCATGTATCCTTGGTTCCTGAAAAGTAACTCTGAACTTTTTATGACTGGCATTCCACCAAATATCAGGCATTTCTTTCAGGAAACAAAGAAAACCTATCATAATGGATTAATTTGTCCCTCAGGTCAGACAGCACTGTATCATACGATCTACTGTTAATTAATATTTTATTTGAAGACTAGATGAAGAGGAAATATCATGCAATAAACTCCTCTGAAAATCCTTTATATTATATAAACACCGTTCAGAATAAAGCTATTTTTATTTTTATTATTTGTGATCAGATAATGATTAAACTGAAGTGATTGTAAACTTAATCAGTAAGATATCAAGACTCTTCAGTGCTAGAGTTTCTGACATTCATAATGACCTTATCAGATATGATAATAATCATCTCTTTTTACGTTTACTCATCGACTAATTAATGATTTAATACAGTAGATATTTTCCTCAATTACGACAAACTACTTATATCCTATAATCAGTAATCAGAAACGTTTTCGACAAATCTATTTTCTCATATTACAGAAACTAACCGAATATTATTATTGTATTATTGTTCCCTTGGGTTCCTAGTGGAACATAGGGCTTCAACTGCACGTCTACACTTGCTTCTGTCTTCTGCTGTACTTTTCATCTGCATCCATGTTATTCCATACTGTTTCAACTCCTCTTCACATGATCTCCTCCATGTCACCCTTGCACCGATGAACCACTCGCCGCTTCCCTTGAGGGTTCCACTCGAGCACTGGCCTGACACGCGATGTCACCCAGAGGCCTCTTCAACGAGTGTCCAATCCATCTCCAGTTTCTCCTGCATATTTGTTGGGCGATTGGTTCTTGTTTTGTTTGTTTCCATAGTTTCTTGTTTGTGATTCTTTCCGGCAATCTAACCTTCAGTATAGAACGAAGACAGCTAAGGTCTGCAACCTGTTGGAAATATTCTTGGTGACCCGCCAAGTTTCTCATCCGTATAGCAAAACTGACTTGACGTTTGTATTGAAAATCCGAATTTTGTTGTTGATGCTGAGTTGAGTGGAGAAGATTTCCAGATTGGTTTCAGGTTGATGAATGTGTTTCTCGCCTTCCCAAGTTGTTGATTTGAAATCCTCATCCGTTCCTCCTGTAGTTGAGACAATGTTCCCTAGATAAGTGAGTGAATGAAGTAACCTCTTTCAAATCGCTCCCGTTGATGGTGATTGGTGCTGGATGTTGCTGTTGTTGTTGTTGTTGTTGGTTGGTTGGTTGGTTATTCTCATAACCTCCGTCTTGTCTATGTTCACCTGGAGTCCTGTCTTTTCTGCTTCTTCGACCAGTTCGTCGGTTTTCGCTTGTAAGTCTTCGATTTTGTGTGACATCAAACATAAATCATCCACGCGCGACATTCAGGTCTTCTGGGTTCTTCACGTCGGTCCAAGATATCTCTGTCTTCTCGTTTCCCACTGTCTGACGCATAAGCCATTCCACCACAATTAGGAATATCATTGGTGATAATAAGCACCCTTGTCTGACTCCTGTGTTTACTCCAAACGCCGAATAGCTTGATAGTCAATTTTCCAAAATGTGTTTTTTTGAGTGAACTCCGCGAAGAATCGAAAACCACGACAACACCAAATAATAATGATATATTCTCCGTGACGTTTGACTTCTTGACCTCGTTTCTTACTTTGTTACAAGTGAAAGATATGCCGACCAGATATTAAACGGAAATGAAACAGTCTTCAACTAGATTTTTACTAACCTTTATTCCTTTCATCTGAATCGAATCGCTATACTAAATTCTATTTGAATGTTTGTTATAGATAGCCTTGATTTGTTTTATTTAAAGATAAGGAGCGCTATTCACTGAGTTTTAGAATATTGTTTATTTTAAAATTAAATTTACTATTCAGTTTTCAGCACTGAGGGAGAGAGACATAGAGAAACAAAAAGCCTTCATGTGATATAACCTGGTGACATATGATCACTTAAGAATAACTGTTTAATAGGATCATGTTTCATAAGTATACTACTACTGTTACTATTACTACTACAACTACTACTATCGAAAAATGTTTTTGACAATTAGATTTTCGGAATTCTCTTTCACATTTTCTTTTACTGGTTCTTCATCCACTCTCAATTAATTAATCATGAACAGATAAATAAATACATGGATGTTTAAAATATAGAAAATAGAGAGATTTAGAAGTAAACGGGATAAGTAAAGGTAACGCAGAATGCTTAATTATAATGTATCAAATGAGTATCATATGATCTTTACTATTTTTTTTTCAAAAGTTAAAAAGCAAAACATGCATATCCTTGCAAAACAAAAATGTGACACCAACCAAATATACGTTTATTTTTTTACCTCAAAATATGGGTAAGAACTTGTAAAAGGAAAGGAGCTTTTTCTATCAGTTGACGATAACATAACTGATAATTTACACAGAAGCCTAATACCTTGTACTTCTAACGGTTATTCTATCATTTAATATATTACTGTATTATTTGGCTATAATTATAATGTTACGTAAAACTGCCGATTGGTCGATTGATTGATCGAGTGGTCTGAACTGATTCGGCTGTCTGGGCCTTGAGTCAAAGTGAGTTGACCGCTGATGAGCTTAGTCCGAAACCAGTGAAACGGCCATTCGGTGTTGAGATCACTTCCGTCTATCTGGCTGACTAGCAAGCCCTTGCTGGTTGATGTGAGTTGGACAGAACTACTCTTCTCAATCAATCAATAGAGTAGACAGTTCTATGCATTTATGCTTCGTTTCTTGATTTCAGTTTCCAAAAGAAACTGCGAAGAAATCTCACATTAAACTGTGTAGATTGCAAAATAATTTGCAAACTATGAATTAAATGTATGCAATAATAATTATTATTATCATGATTGTGATTACGAAATCAGTTGTTATGTTTCAGCTAGTGGAACTAAAACGACGTCATTTTTTTTATTCCTTTACATTCCCAGTGAAACATAGGGCTTCAAGCTAACCACTTGAAGATTCTGTAGCTGTGGGGACTATTTTTACAGGATGGGGTTGATAGACTCATGCCCACCCTTCCCTCTTTACCAGTCTTATCATTGGCCTAACGAGATAAAGGAGTGCGTCTGTGGCCGGGGATCGAATCCCGCACCACCTGTGGCGTAGTTGGCTAGCATCTTACCTCTGTGCCACGGAGGCATTAAAAATCGCCATCATGCAACATTCAAATATGACTTATTTCCATTTACTGGCACTTATGGTATTAAGCGGAACGATCAGATATTGTGATGTGAATATTTTTCGACTTCACAAAGCAAACTATGAGTGGTAAATTCTCACCTTGAATTGTGTAATTTGTAAATCAGGTATGAGATTCTATGTATTACTAGTTGTCCCAAATACATAACTTGGTCGAAACGGGAACACTGCTGATAAGCCAAACTTCAAACGAGCGAAACGACCATCCATCTGGTATTTAGTTCAATTCAATTTAGCTAGCAAGCACTACTGTTTTCAAATAACGATACTGATCAATCACCAGCATTTATCCTCACACTGCTCTGCCTGTTTTCCTAATTACCATTTATTGTACCATGAGGATCATTTATTGTACTCTGAATTATTTTTACTTTTCTAAAGAAACTGTGATAAATCTTCATCTCATATTGCATAATTTGTAAATAGTGAATTTGAAACTGATGAATGAATGAATGAATGCGTCCGTAGTATTAGTCAAAACATTTACGAAGAAATTTACAAAATGACCTTACTGGATATCATAGTCATGCCTCTAACTTTAGCTTTTATTTTTACTAGTTTACATCTCTAGTGCTCACTATTGATTGACTACAAGACGAAGTTGTCCAGAGGTCTAGTGATAAGTCGTCTCCAGTGGAGTACAGTAGGTCGCGTGTGACCAAAAATACTCCCCCCCCCGATGACACTGACCGGCTGTTGCGTTATAAATCGCTAACTGACAGAATTAAGGATTCATGAACCAGTCACTAAATTTTGTCCTAGTTTCTGAATCGTCTTAAACTGATTCACCTCTTAACGTAAAGGCCCTGAGTTCGACCAGAGGTTGGACCAGTACTGATGAAGAGTCCCAAACTAGGACAAAACCACTGTTCAGTATTCTTTGGTTTATAGTGGTTCTCCAGCTGATGTTTATCCATGATTTAAACTGAAATCGATGCAATTCCTGCAAACCAACGCCATATGAAAGTACCCTGTTGTAGTCACTTTCGTTGGCAATGAATCTGGTAGTTTATCACTTACGCATCAGTAGAACAGCGATCACTAAAACTATCCGCTTAGTTATCGAAGACATGTGTGAGTTAAGGATATTCGGTTTATACATTATTTTCGAAGATTTACCGTTTGTTTTCACATTGACATTAACGTAGACTGATCAATGAAAATATATGTAGAAGTGTTTGTGATCTGTCCAATCGTTTTCAATAAAAAGTAAATTTTGCCCATATTGGCTCTCTGCGTACTCTATTTTTTGTCCCTCGCATTACAAATGGAATATAAGGCTTCAGGCTTTGAAATTTCAGTAGTGCTGGCGTTTTTTTTAACCCCCTCCCCATCAACCCTGCCCTTTTTCCTTGCTTCTTGCCTACTAGTCACTTAATTGAGGTATAGGATTACGTCGGTGGGGTAGGGGTGGAATTCAGACGGCGAGGTAGTGACCAGCGAACATTCTACACACTGAACTCTACATATCCTACAAAACCATTTATAATATCTTCAAAAAATAATTAGCATGCTCATTCAGATACATGTATATATACATGCACACTTCGGTATCCATGCGTTAACGAACTAACTAAAACATGCAGAACAGGTTTCAGCTAAGAACACATTCATACATACCATTATTCTCTTGTGTTGACGGTGTTGTCGTCGCTGCTGGTGTTGATGAAGTTTTATCTATTAAAGATGGAAAAAATGATTACGTGAAATTCATCATTTCTATGGTACGGTATGTGAAAGGGAGGAAGAGAGTTAACTCTTTATTTATTTCTTTTAAAAATAAATTTCCCTTTTAATTCATTCCAAATAAGCATATACAATATAAATAATATGAACATGCATTAAAAAAGCATGCAGGATTGAACATTGACACTTTATTATCATTACTATGTGTTCAATGTGTCAATAGTTGTTAATATTGTTATTTTAATTATTATTATTATCAGCCTCAACCTCCATTGTTGAAATATAAAATTAAATGTAGATATATATACAAACAAAAGAAGAAATAGGGAAAATGCTCTGAAGTGTGAAATGTGGTGGTTTGTCTTTCCTCAGAATAGAGAAGAACATAGAAACCTTTTTCTTGATCAATTGTCAACACATGAAGTGGTTAATAAAAAAGTTTCTTTCTTTTTACTGTCCTAAATAGAAGAGGTAAGTACATTGAGAGTGTGGTAGATGTTGACTTCCAATCATTTGTTGTATTTAATGCCTTTTTTCTCTCTCCTCCTTTTTTATTGTTGTAATTGTTAGTATAACAAAAGTGGACGAAGTCAGATTGATTATTTTAACTGTACATCAGTATTGTCCAGATTATATTGATAGTGGACTGCACAACACCAATAACCATTTTGAAAAATTGCACTTTTATCACTGAAATTAAATATAGAAGAAAAATAGAAGTTGATTGAATATATATATATAAATATATAGGTCAATGAAAAGTAACAGATACAGTATTTATCGTTATCGGTATTACTCATCCCTTGCATTCCGAGTGGAACATAGAGCCTGAACAACACATCTCCACTCCTCTCGCTTCTCTCTCATCACTTTCAAATGGTTGGACAACCGACCACAAGCTTTCATTTCATCTTCACATGGTCTTCTCTAAGTTACTTTCAGATCCATAACCGACTAGTTATTCCACTTTCGAGTTCTATTCGAGGGTCTGACCGATGTATAATATCGCTTGAAGGTTTCTTCAGGGCATGTACAATCCATATCCATTTCCTTCTGAATTATTGTTCAGCAATAGGTTGTTGATTGGTCTACCGACGCAATGGCTTCTCCTTCTTTGCCTATCCTTTCTTTTAGGTCATCTCATATATCCAGTGTTGAGCGACTACAGGTGTTAAAGAAAATCTGCGGTTTTATTGTAAACCTCATTCATGATGAGCCAAGCCCGTGAACTATATGACAACACTGGCTTGACATAATTGTTGAAAATTAGGATCTCATCCCCTGTGTTAAGTTCTGAGTACAGCAGATCATGATACTAATTTTAGAGTATGTTTTCATGAACCCATCCTAGTTGTCCTTGACATCCTCATGTTTGACGCGTGCAAATGGAATTATGCTACGTTCAGATTCATTTAAAAGCATCCTGTAAGTTAATACTATCGGTGTATAACTTTTCACTGACGTAATTATCATAATGCCATACTATCTTTTCATATGAATCGTACACAATAGTATGTGTGTGTACTTTTAGTGTTGATTTTGCATGCAAGTGTGAGGATTCTAATTATCCTTCTAGATAAAGTGAGCTTTTAGAATTCGTCATGAGCTCACTACTCATCCCTCTTAATATCCCCTGAATGTAACTGGTCGTTTCCGGAGATTTCCTCACCTTCTCTTCCAACTTGTCTAAGTATTGGTTATTTTCTTGACCTAATAGTTGACCTTTTGTCCATGTGGTCTATGTCAATATGTCTATTAACTACAGATTCGTCCGAGTACCAGGCTTCTAGAAGCTCTCTGGCAGTTATGCTGTTTTCACTGGAAACTATTAATCACGTTTAAGATTATCAGGAAAGAATGATAGATAATAAGCTGATGGAGAATTCTAAAACCGCACTTTATTTTGAAGACAGCGCTGGATACGTCGTCTGGAAAGACAATAAAAACTTCAAAAATAAACTATCCACTTCAGAAGATACAACTGATTTCTACATACAACCTTGAATCTGAACTGAAACTACTGTCTAGGTCACAGTAGGATCAAGAGCCTTCAAATTATCAATCTGCGTCTCATTCCCCAGCTGGTAGACAAGCGAGCTATTAGATGAAATTATCTGATATAACACACGGTGACGATATAGCACATATCCGTGTATTCACATAACTTAATAACACTACGATATATTGCCTTACTCCCTCCTATTTTTATTGCAATTTTCTATATATCCGATAAAATGTTGCATCATTTCGATTTTGTGTGTTTGATGGTGACTCAATGGACGAAGATGCTTTGATTAACCTCTCTCTCTCTTCATCTAGCTATGTTAATTTTCAATACTTTTATTCAACCAACCTATCTGTTGGTTACATGCAAGTGAATGAATGTAATGCAATGACTGAGCTTTTTCCTAGGTTACTCAGCTTAGCAGGATCAGTCACTCTGGATTCAACTAAATTCCTATGTTCCGATAAGCTAACTGACCCTAATCTAACAGTCTGACCCATGTAACTGACTTCACAATCATTGCATGGTATTTGGTAAATTATATTATTATTTTTCCTAATTGGATCTAACCTGCCCTTAAGCCAACAAAGTTTGTCTCTGAGTAAGTTGGTTGGTTTGAATGCCACCCCCAAATCCAACCTTATTAAGAATCCTCCTTTATATGTTAGTAATATCCAAGTTTTGAATTCTTTGTCATTTACTCTTATTTTTCTTGTGGGTCCTAATACATTTTTGAATGAATTCTGGTGCTTCGTTATCCACTGGTAATGTTTTCTTTATCTGCTTGATTTCATTACTTAAGTCTTCTAACTTACTAGTTTAGGCTATGGGCTTGATTGCATCAATATTTAGCTAAATATGCCTTAACAGACTTCTATCATGTTAAGAGCACTTCACTTAGTAAAAGTATTTTCGGAGAACAACAAAAAATGAACAGATGTCAATTAGGACTACCCAGCATACTGCATTAATTTCATTCCATTGAGTTCCAATTGGGACATAGGGTTTCAACCTTGTCGTTTACCGTTTCAGTAGCACTGATTTTATTTTTACGGATTTAGGTTGCTACCATGACGCCCAACCTTCGCTCTTTACCGGGATTAACATCAACCTAGTGAGGTTTAAGAGTGTGCCGGTCGGAAGTCGAGCTTTGGACCACGTGGGTGGTTGGTGAGCATCCTACCTATGTTTGTTTCTATTTCTAAATATATCTTAAATCTTCAAGTGTTAGTTCATAGAGATTTTATTGATTTCAACTTAAATCACAGATTATTATCAGTTAAAGAAGCATTGAAAACCAGGGAGTATTGGATAGTCGTTTTGCCAGAGTTTTGGACTCTTCAGGAGTACACACGCACGCCCCCAGCGAGGATCAAACCCTAAACCCCTAGGTTGCGAGATGGACGCACCAACCGTACAGCCATTAGGACGGAAACCAATGGCCGGTCCATTAATTCTAACTTCTCTCAATTCATGATTTACATCGCCACTGCCAGCCAGTCTCATCGGTGAGTATTTGTCCCCACACCCAACTTGTTGAATCTCACTACTGATGACTTCTCACTAGAACTCTCAGTAACTTTGTTCTGTAGTCAGTTACTAGTGAATGAGTGAATACTGAGTGATCCCCAGTAGGGGTGGGGAAGTGTACTTCTGAAAACTCCAAAACTAGGACGAAACTACTGTCCAATGGTACACCCTGGTTTTCAGTAGTTCTCTAACTGACTCCAATTTATATTTAAACTTGATCCTTTAAATAACAAAATAATGCTTTATACAATAACTCACGTTAATGTTTGACTGCATACTGAACATTTGAAACAATTACGATGTACAACTTGATCAACTAAATCATAACGTTCATTTACCAACATTGGTTTATTACATATTGAACAATTATGAATTGATTTCAAATTACAATTCATTAATTGATTTAATATCTAAATAAATGAATAAATAAATAATTGAAAATTGAATGGATATCTACTTGAGAAATAGTAAACAATTACTTTTATAATAATTTGTTCATTGGATATATATTAAACAGAGAGAAACAGTGTGATGAGAGCTGTCTACTAGCCAAATTGGTAGACAGTAATTTACGTCAATATTTACGTTCCCAAGATTTGTCGTGAGAAAATGTGAACAAAGATTGATTCAAAACCGACCACAGCAGACTTTGCGTAGGCGGATGCAGTTAACATATAGAGGATTTGACATTCAAGAAACAGTCACAAATAGATGAAAGATTAACTTTACGTGAGAAACAACCAATCGGAAGACTGTGTTTGTTTACTTAAATATCCATAGTAATGTACATGAAAATATATAAATATGCGTTGATTTCCTTAATAATGGATCTGTTGCCTGACTCTTGCCTTCTGTCGTTACAACAGTATTATGTGCTATAGGAAACTTTTAACACAACTTTCCCATTTGTCGTAAGGGTAGTAGAAGTTTTCAGATGTCCAGATGGGCAGGTGTTGAATCATTCCTGCTGCACAAAATCTCACAGTTGATTCGATAAATAAAGCGTCTACTACTAATCTCTCTTTCCACCCTGTTATATAAGATCTTAAGACCGTCATCTAATCCCCTCTCACTGTATTAATATTATTCCATTGGGTTCCAACGGAAACACAGAGCTTCAACAGATCATCTTCGCTATGTCCTTTTCTCTGCAGTCCTCTTCAGATGTCCCCACGATTGCCCATAGACTTTCATTTCCTCATACTATCTCTTTTGTGTCACCCTCAGACGCCTAACTTATCATCTGTCATTCAGGTTCTACTCAAGGGCCTGTCATACGATGTCAATCGAGGATCTCCTCAGCGTATATCCGACCCATCTCCATTTTATTCCATATATTCTTTGAGCGATGGTTGGTTGATTGGTTTGTTCCCAGAGTTTCCAGTTGCTAATTCTTTCTGGCCATTTAATCTTCAGTATAGAGTCAGAGAAGGCAGTTGTTGATAAAAGTCTGGCTGTTGGAAACGCTTTTCATGACGTGTGAGCCAAGTTTCTTACCGATATAGAAGAGATGACTGACCTAACACTCGCATTGAAGATCAGAGTTTTGTTGTTTATACTGAGTGCGGGAGATTTTCAAGCTGATTTCAGGGTGACGAAAGTCTGTCTTGCCTATTGTATGGTTCTGTGTAATGCATATAGTGCTGTAGTTGGGATATTTTCTAGATTTCTTATCTTATAAGGATCTGTTAGTCTAGATTTCGTTAACTTCCGTGGTTTCCTTAATCCAACTGATACTTAATTACGACTATTCTGATCTCGTAATCATCGCAAAATACTGAATAAACCATAAAATGAAGTTTTGAAGTTGTACAGCTACAGTTAACACAATTATGAGCAGTAACTTGTGTTTCAAAACGTCAACCAGTAAATAGCACAGTTTCACTATGTTTGTGATATATCCAATAAACAAATTAATATGAAATTACAAGATTTGATAGTGTGAAATATTCTCATATTATGAATTAAAAGTCAAACTGAGCGAAGAATATTCTTTTCAATATATTTTCTTTAGGTTCTTACAATTATAAAATACAATATTTGTTACTTTTGATTGCACACTAGTCAGTCACTAGTGTAATGCGTCTAGTCCTATCTTCGGTGCAGACTGAATTCTATCAGTCATGTTTGCAATGTGGCCACCATGCTAGGTGGCTCGCCATTACGGTGCACTGTGAATTGTTGCTATTAGATGGTTGGAGGCAATCGGCAGGAAGCCTTGCTTGACCTAGGTTTCGTGCTAGTTGGCACTCATCAGCAAGGCGTATCTGCAACCTTGAAGGAACTGATGTCCCTTCTGAGATTCGAACCCGCGTCACCCAGTGCTGCAGTCAGAGACGTTACCACTGAGCTATTCAGGCTCACGACTGACCTCCTGTAGGACAGTATTGGACACTTTTGATTGCACACCAGTCAGTAACTAGTGTAATGTGTCTAGTCCTATCTTCGGTGCAGGCTTAGACCTAGGTTTCGTGCTGGTTGGCACTCATCAGCAAGCGAGCCTGAATAGCTCAGTGGTAACGTCGCTGACTGCAGCACTGAGTGACGCGGGTTCGAATCTCAGAAGGGACATCAGTTCCTTCAAGGTTGCAGATACGCCTTGCAGACTGATGAGTGCCAACTAGCACGAAACCTAGGTCAAGGAAGGCTTCCTGTCGATTGCCTCCAACCATCTAATAACAATATTTGTTATAGTTACAATAACAGCCAGCGATGTGGAGGATACATGTTTTCACGTAGAGTAACCGATTAGTTATAAGATGACAAAATAAATATTATTTATATGACAAACGTACTGGTCTGAATTAAATTATAAAATATTGCTGAATGAGAGACGATGTTGGTGATTAGTCTTAATTATTACATTATTATTATTATTCCCTTGGGTTCCGAATGAAACATACGGCTTCAACGAAACACCTACGTTCTCTTCTATTTTCTGCTGTCCTCTTCAGCTGGGTCCTTGATTGCCCATTATCTCTCATCTCCTCCTCGTCACACGATCTCCTCCATGTCACCTTCGCACCGACGACCCACTCGTCGTTTCCCACTGGGATTTCACTCGAGCCATAGCTTGGAGCACGATGTCATTCGACAGCCTCCTCAACGTATGCCCAATCCATCTCCATTTTCGCCTACATTATTCATAATAGATTCATGTAATGTGGCTATTTCACGATGAACTATTCACTGCAGTCTTACTATCTCCTCTTTAATGCAAACCACTTTGTACTAGCCACTTACCTGACACCTTTTATAACCTGGAACTAACTTGTCAGTTTTCCTTCCCCACAGTGTATAGATCTATTAAGACTAATCACCATCATTATCACTCGTCTCGCAATATTTTATAATTGGATTTATTTTTAAGAGTTAGTTTGTAGGAGTTTGATAGATTTCGAAGTCTTATCATAGTCTGATATCAGTTAGAGAACCATTGAAAACCAGGGAATACTGGACAGCTGTTTCGTCTTATTTTAGAACTCTTCGTCAGATCTCCTAGGTACAAGACAAGCATATAGACTATTCAGCCACTGGTACCCAATTCTATGACTTATGAATTCCAACTTCTACTAATTCATGGTATCAGCCAGTGATCAACCTTGAAACAAATCAAATCTCCACAAACAAACTCTTGAAAATTGATCTGATGTTCACTAGCAACCGGCTAGTTACCCAGATTTCTAATGAAAATTCATGACCTCCACCCGGTTGGGAGGGAGGACAGATACTGTACTGTTGAAGGGTTCCAAACTAGGACGAAACAGCTATCCAATACTCCCTGGTTATCAGTGGTTCTTTAAATGATAACAATCCGTGATAGAACTTGAAATAGATCGAATCCTATAAACTAACTCTGGAAAATACTTTTTATGTTGTCACCCTATAACTAATCTGTTACTCAACGTGAAAACATGCGTCCTCCACATAACTGGCTATTATTGTAACGATAACAAATATTAGATAGTTGGAGGCAATCGGTAGGAAGCCTTGCTTCACCTAGGTTTCATGCTAGTTGGCACTCATCAGCAAAGCGTATCTGCAACCTTGAAGGAACTCATGTCCCTTCTGAGATTCGAACCCGCGTCACCCAGTGCTGCAGTCAGAGACGTTACCACTGAGCTATTCGGGCTAGCGATTGACCTCCTGTAATATTATATTTTATAATTGTAAGAAAGTGAAGAGAATATACTGAAAAGAATATTCTTCTTTCAGATTGACTTTCAATTCATAATGTGTAATGACATTCTACCACAGTGGCCAAGTTATATACATAATATATTAAACAATTATTTGTTGTGCATCTTTTCAAAAGTTACTACTGTCAAACCCAACCTCTTGAACATTTACAACAACTTACACAACTTATATATTTTTTTAATCTACCCTAACAGCTGAGGAAAAACCGTAAAGTAAGAAGAAGACATTAAGCTCTTTTTATACCCTCAAATACATTCCTCTTTGCTTAATTTAAACAAAAATATGTGGGTGCAATCTAATGGAATCATATGATTTCACCTCTGTAGTGCACAAAGCTAAATATAGAAGATAAATTGCTGTTATTATGCAGTAAAAAAAGGAACACATGTTGTATCCTATAGAAAACACATAGATTGCTTTTTGTACATATTTTGTGGGTATCTGACTTCTTATGATAAGGTTATCCTCTTCGTTTTAAACCCACATATTGCAGTTTAGCAGTTCACATGTAATTATAATATGATTATTATTGCTATTATTCCCTTGGATTCCTAGTGTAGCATACGCCTCCAACAGTACATCTCCATTTCATCCTGTTCCCTGGAGTCTTCTTTAGCTTGCCCCTTCATAACCCAAAGGCTTCCATCTGCTGCTCATACTAGCTCCCCTGTGTCATCTGAGGGACCACACCCAAATTATTGTTTCCTATTAGGATTTCCACCTATGATATTAGCGTATTTTACCAATCAACAGTAACCTCAGAGTATGGCCTGTCAATCTCCATTTCCTTCTGTATATCTGTTGAACAATAGGTCCTTGATTGCTTCGTTGCCAGAATCCCACATTTCTGATCCCTTCTGACCATCCTGTCTTCAGTATGGAACAAAGGTGATGTTAACTATCCGCTTGATTCGATATAAAAGGAAGTGTCCCTATTCGTGTTGATTGAAGGTAAATTTATGAAAACTGGTATCACTACCTGCTTTGACGCAACAGTCTCCAAACTTCTAACCAAGTGTTTCATAAGTTGAACTGCAAAACTAAGGTCTTCATTCCACATTTTATTATCACTTATTACATCAGTGTACGTCGTTGATTTCGTGGTAGAATGCTCGCTAGCCACCCAAGTGGCTCGAGTTTGATTTCTACCCAACTCACTTCTAAACATCCTTTAGTCGATAGTAAGTGAAAAAGAAAAGGAATGTTGGGCGTAAGGCTAACGACCTCATGAGTTAAAAAAATACACCAACGCTAATCCAAAATTTCAAAACACAAGCTTGGAACTCTATGTTCCCCACGGAACACAAAGGAATGGAAAAAAAATCACTTAGACAGCATTTCCGTAACCACATCAGATAACCTCAACAGAAAGGAAAATTGACTTGAAGTAATTTGGTGGATGGTGGCTAGCAGTGGAATCGAGGATTCGCATATTCGTCCTACTTGGGACTCGTCAACTGGACGTGCCCCAGTAAGTGATGGCGTTACCATTGAGGCTGGAACCCGATACCCTTAGTTTCAAACGCCAAAGCTTTATCCAATAAATCCTATTTGGGCCACGAGAGCCACCTATTGTACAACGAGTGTCAGTTATTATTATGCTTAATTGAAGCGTCCACACTTGGAGCCGACATGTCAACAAAGGCCAACACAATTCACTCCAGTCAATCGATAAGAAAATCAAATTCGAATTTTTTTAAATTAGAAACAAAATTTATTCTAGAAATCAATATAAAAACTTCAGCTGACTTACTGTTTTATCTTCAACTTTTACAGGTTCTATTGGTTTTTCAATCCATATACCAAGTTCATCATTACCCATAACTGAGATTGGTTGAGAAGTGTTTATTTTAATCTCTGGGGTTTGTAATGATAGAGGCAGGGGTGGTGGAGTAGGTCGACTCAATCTCTGCCCACCACTATTAGCACCACCAGTATAAGTAGCAGTAGTATTGTTGTTCACTAAACTGAGTGAAGGAAAGCTATTTTGTCCTCCTGTTGTTAATTGTGAATTTGTTGTTGCTAGTATAGGTCGACTGATTTCAGGTCGTGGATTAGAATAACTACGTTGAGTTTTATCCGGTTTTGTTTTTGAACGATTCAAGTTAATTTTTGCTGCAGCTGCTGTAAATATTTTATGTGGCTTTTTTGAATTATTATTTTTTGTTAATAAATCACCATTACTTTGACTATTTGTAATACTGCGTAGATCAGGTGTACTTTTCAGCTGTGATTTGTATTCATTTTTATCGGTATTGATAGTATTGTCAAATTTTTGTTTTGAACGAAATTTACTCATTTTATTTGAGCGTAAAGGCATTTCATAGAGTCTACTTTCTAGAAGAAATCAATTGTGAAATGGCCATGTAGGACGTCATTTTTGAATAAAACAAGCATTAATTTTGGGTGAGTATATAAGTTACAGTGAAACAAAACTGCCTCCTTTTCCGCGGTCTATTACAATTTGAATTTTCCAAATAGTTATTAGTTACTTTTCTGTGATTTTGTATTAACATGCTTAGAGGAATGCTGTGTCACTCTTGGTTGGTTTAAAAGTGTTTTGCCCAGCTGGAATATCTGTTTTGGCGTTTACTGCACCATGCGCGATAACACCTCACGATTGCTTTTATCGCTTCTCATATTAAATATGTCTGCTTACTTGTTTTGATTTAAACACGGAATGCTTATTTAAACATTGATAATTGATATAAGAGATTCTGTCATGCAACACAGCTTGTGGTATATGTCTTTCTTTTTAAAAAAGAGGATTTTTTATGGAATCTAATTTCTTTCCATGCAAAAATGAAGGAAATATTTCGTCGATTCATATACAACCATGCAATGAATGTTAACCCATCTAACTAGAGAATATTAGTGTAACATAGTGAAACTTTATTCTTACTACTAATACTTAACAGCTGTCTTAACCTGAGGCACTAATTCTTTTAAAGAAAGGCTGTGGCCTATAAGACTGTATGAGGTTAATTTTATTCTTCAAGGGTTGAGATCTATACATGGGTTGTAAGAGGTAAATGTACTTTGAGATTCGTTAAATTAACTTTTCGTCATTAATATAGTGATAAAGCTTATTGACGAAATGTTTAATATACACTTACTTATTAAGATTATTTGACTATGTGAAAAAAATGTAGAAGTATCAAGTGAATACAAAGTAATCTGATGTGTATATGTTAATTGATTTAAGTCATCTGTTATGACTAAAACTTATTATCCTGCACAATAAGTGGAAAATAGAGTCTGAGTGGAACATCTAGGTTACATTCGGTTCTCTGTCATCTAAATGTCATCTAACTCCTCCTCAGTATGATCTCCTCCAATGTCACCCACAGAATCATGCCCAACTCGTCGATTCCCATTCGGGTTACACTCGACTGCTTGACTGCCGTGTTATGTCACTTGAATGTATGCATACTCAGTGTATGTCCAACCCATCTCTGTTTCCTTCTGAATACCTTTGCCATTCATTCAGTTCTTCATTGGTTCAATCTCAACCAAGTTGTTCTCTTGATTAGACACTAGTAACTAGTGTCATGAATCTAGTTTTTTGCTGACTACAGACTGAATTCTATCAGTCAAGTTTGCAATGTGACCACCATGCTAGGTGGCTTGTCCTCACAGTACATTCAGGATTGTTGTAATTAGATGGTTGGGGGCAATCGGCAGGAAGCCTTGCATGACCTAGGTTTCGTGCTTGTTGGCACTGACCAGTCAGCAAGGCGTATCTGCAACCCTTCTGACAAGCGCCAACAGGCACGAAACCTAGGTCATGCAAGGCTTCCTACCGATTGCCTGCAACCATCTAACAACAAGTTGTTCCTTGCTGTTTGCTTCTCCTTTCTGTATAGCTATCTGATCTTCACCACCAAGCCGACGAAGGTAGGTTTTGATGAGAGTCTGCAAAAGCCCGTTAGAAATACTTTTTGTGACGTGTTCGCGAAGTTTTTGAAGCATAAAGAAGTAGTGACTGACTGTATTAGTGCTAAAATCTCAGATTATATTCCTAATGGCATGTGTGTTTATGGATCTCTACACCAATCTCAATCACAGGTGGCACGAATGAAGATTTCAAAACAAGACAGACGTCCAGGTAAGTGAAAAAAGCCTAGTTCCTTTAGATTTTTCCCATCGATGGTGATTAGCGTTTGTTACTGTTGGTCAGGCATCATCACCATCTCATGATTAAAGCCTATAAGAATATCAAATTACGATAAGCGTTTTATATCTTTTTATTCATGCGTATGCATAGTTTGTATCTATATCAGTTGAAAAGCAACTGATTGCAGCCTGAACCACTTCATTAATCTTTAAATAACCTTAGTTTGACCTTAGCGGTTAGAGAGATAATCCCTGCCTGAAATTCCCAAACTTATTTAGCAGAATTATTTATTTCTTTTCCCTAGTGTGTTTAATATCCTCTTTAGATGATTATGATTTATGACGAAGAATGCAACTTAATATAATGTTCAATTTTCAATTACTTTATAAGGTAAATAAATGAATGTTTTATCGTTATTGATTTTATTTTTATTTTCCTTTATTTTCATTCGCCAATATTCCAAGTAGAAAACATGGGGCTTCAAACTATTCCTGAAGTTTTATTTGAGATGGTGTTGTCTTTCGCATTTGATAGGGTGAGCAAAATTGAGGTTAGGAATCGGTCGAGTGCTAGGTAAGGAGGGGAAATCGATCGACGACGCTGTGAAGTTCTGTCGACTGAAATAGCTAGGACATGTGTTACGTATGCCTAGTCATTGCCTTTCTCGACCGACGGGCGATGTTAGCTGAAATAGGATGGATCAGGTTGGAAAATAGTTAATGGTGTCAGACCAAAACATAGCTTCATCAGTCAATGAAACCCACAACAGTTAGTTTAAGCCAACTACGTAGGGAGGCGTAGAATTCCTCGTTGGGGTCTTCGGGACGGTAAACACCAATGAAGGCTGGAGACAACTGGTGATATGGCTCAAAATTGTTCTCAATGGCTGGCACAGATGCATCCACTCCTTGTGACTTATAATTTCCAATAAAACTATATTGTTCTTCTATATTACTATTCTTTTTGCCTCATATCTCTGTTTACTGTCTCTATTTTGCATTTCTTTTTACTTTCTTCTCTTGCTTTGTTTGCTACATGGAGTTTGGTGACTCGAACTGCTGCACATCAGTGCAAAGTTCTATGTTGAAAGCAGTCAGTCAGTCATTTGATACCACCACATAGAGTAGATGAGGTTAGCGAGTGCGTCGGTCGAGAAACGAACTACGTAGATAAGAGTGTTTGGAAAGTATTCTATTACTGAACTACCGAAGCATATATATACATCAAAAGTGATAGTATAGACGACTCGATATAGACACATTTCATGACAGAAATCTAAGTTATACGTTGACATATTAAAACAGCTGATAACATTAGAACTGTATACTACTTATTGGTTGATATAAGTAGTTGCATAGCACTCATATCAACCAGTAGTGCTTGCTGGTTAGCAAGACTGGAGTGATCTAAACATCAGATGGCTACTTTGTTCGTTAGGAGTCGAGCTCATCAGCTGTGTATCCAGTTTTACTCAGGTCAGAGAGCTGGATCAGTTCAAACCACCTGATTTCTAGCTAGCTATATGGACAAGGTAGTAATTCTAAGAAAAGTATTTTACAATCTTTTATCATGAATGATACTGGTTAAAACTTACAAGTTACACCTAAAAGATGGATACAAATTCATTTACAAGTCATACTGAATAATAAACTCATTGATCACTTTGATTTATATAAAAAGACGTTCATCAGTCCATTAGATATCAGTGCTGTTCACACTTAGGTCAGACTTGGAGATATCACACTGAATGACAACGGAAGCATCCAATTCAAGGGACACAACAGCATCAGTAACATCCACCTGAACTACAAACTTTCTCCGTGTCCCTAGGCTTACTTGTGCTTTCATTAAAAGAAAACGCATCAGATGATTGGCTTCCTGAAGACTTCCATGTGGCAGTGTCATCCATCCCCGGATTCTTCTCGTTCCTACTGGAGAGTAAGTTTTTTTCCATTTGTAAGCTGAATTTCTAATAATGATGGGGTGAAGTTCCCAGCCCCAAGCCTAAACATCCCTCTTTTCTGGTATAAGGAGAGGCTAGTAAATTAAGCATGGAGTGCTAGGTGAAGAGTTGGGCGTATGTCCGAGGGTGACATGAAGAGGGTCAAGTGAAGGTGAAATCAAAGATTTTGCGGAGTGGTGGAAGCAGTTGACGATGGCGGTGTGCTTGGATCACTGGGCTACCATCCAACACAGTGCATCATATTTTCGCTACAGTCGTAAAATGTACATCCGCACATTTTCAACTGACTTTTAGTCTACCGCTGTGCATATCTCAGAGACGAAGGAAAACTTTCATAAGAGATTGGCTTATACTACAGATCTAACAACAATGCGTCACATGGTGTACAGTGGACGAAGAGAAAATATTAAGCAAAAAATTATACTGTGAATTGTGTACATTGTGTAAATATTTTAGTCCAGAATAAAGCTGCTATTAGTGTTATTATTCACATATATATGACATCATGTTGTTGTAACTGGTCAAGTAAATATCCCTCCTGTTTACAAGTTTTCCGTTTCGGTCTGCAGTCATAATAACATGAAATTTGTTGCTACCCAAACAAAAATTAGAAAATATCAAATCATACAAAACATTTGTTCGTCCGTTCACGTTTGTTTTTACATGCAAGAAAAGCCAGAATGTGTCAATCATAACCACAAGCACAAACTTAAACAAATGACATGCAACAATAACATGACCTTGAAATTGGCGCGCTAAACAAGCAGAAATTCATATTTTTTTTAAAAAAAACAGAAGACATTGCTTACCTTTCCCCTTGATATCATGAAGTGTAGTGCCCTTAATTTTGAAAAAAAAATAAAATAAAAATAATTGTAAGATAAAATCAATAATTTAAGGAAAAATTAATTACTAGATACTAAAACCAATAGGAATAGATACAGCACACAAACCAACACAGTCATTCATTCATTTAATACAGACGATAAGATCCAACAGCAAAACAAGAGAAAATCAATACCATCTATAAAATTAATAGTATGAACTATGACAAACACTATATTGATCAAAGTGGGCGTTCCCTTCGACTAAGAATCTAAGAACATAAAAGACACGATATATATTCTTTCATATCACTGCATGTAGATAATTCTGGGAACTAATGTGACTAGGAAAATCTCGAAGTTTAAAACAGTGGAAACATCAGGAAATATCAAGGAATTTCTAGAAGCCTGGTACTCAGGTGAATCAGCGATTAACAAACAAATTATTATAGAATAAATTTGCCAATTAATGAAGAATAAGCTGCATAAAGTCAAATTCGAAGTCAATAAAAACGATCAATACTGATACAAATTAACAATCAAACATGACGAAAGTTGTCTAAAGATACAACTACATCATTCATAGAGAATTCAAAGAAGTTCACTTCCTATGGAAGTTCGCCCTGAACATGTTGTCTAGAAAGACATTAGCAATTATAAACCAGCCAACTCAGAGAACTCGACCACATTAAGATTATCCAGCTGAACTATAAGTCTTCTCCATTATTTCTAAGGATTGAACCATTCGAAATGCAATGAAAATAGCTTTTTTCCAACTGGAAATTCAGTAGTATATCTCTTTCTGACGAAAAAAAGAAGAAATGAGTCTTGATGCTACGATAAAGCCACATAACATGCTGAGAATTCAGTTTTATGTATCAACACATTTTTTAGAATTAAGCTATTATTATTATTATACCAAGACACCAATTTATACATTTCAGGACTCAATATCCAGTAAAATACATGGAATATAAATTCTGAAGTTAGTTACAACAATCAAAATTCAACTAAACCATGGTTCTCTAACTGATGTCAGTTTGGGATTAATCTTGAAATCATTTAAATCTCAAGTGAACCAACGCTTGAAAATTATTCTTGTGCCCACTAGTGATTGACTACAGGATGAAGTTGTCTGAAGTTCCAGCGGGAAATCGTGACCAATCAAGGTCCGCGAAGTTGTATTTGAAGACAGATACATCCCAGTGATAGTGGCTGCCGGTGGCGCTTTATATACAGCGAACTAACCCACTGACTGAATAGTTAAGGTCCTGAGTTCAGTCTTAGGCGGTGTCATGGGTAAATACTGCTGAAGAGTCCCAAAGAGGAGCAAAACAACCGTCCAATACTCCCTGGTTTCCAAAGGTTTTTTATATGAAATCAGTTCCTGACCAAACTTGTAATCTATCGAATCACTGCAAATCAATGCTTCAATAAAAACTATCCTGTATGTATTTCACCGCTAATATTGTTGTAAAACTGTCTATCTGTTAGTCTGTACACCTTTTTGATTATATTCAGTATTGATTAGTAAAATAAGATACCGTTTTCATCATGATTTGGTAATATAATTCAACTTGAAAGTACACCGCTAAACTTAAAGAAACTATTTGTACATGTGTATAACCATGGTAAGGTGAACAGACAAACTTGAACACCCAAAATTCAGATAAACATCTTAAACACAGTTGTTAACTGTCCACTTTTAGTAAAAACCAAAAACAAATCTGGATAGAATTCGATTAGTCATAAATACAAGTCGTATGTATGTCTAGGTTGTTTGTTATGTTAAACATAAAACAACATTCATGCAATTTGCTTTATCTTTGCATTCCTTTGCGTTTCGAGTCGAAAATTCAGTTTCAAACTTCACCTTTCAAATTCTAGTAGCAGTGGCGTTTTTTTACGTATTGTGGTTGCTAGCCTCATGCCCAACATTCTTACCTTACCATGCTTATGTTATACACACCTGATATTTCCAAAATATTACATTTATTTTTACAGTACAATGATGTTTGCATTCTCCCCCACTTATGACCACTGAACCCTATTGGTTCTTAACTGTTTTGGCTCATCGAGTGAAGGCCATTTAAATAAGGGTCATTTAAGCCTATATATGCAATTGCTGTCAAGGTCATTTGACTATTGATCCGAGACAGTAAAAGCTCTCCATTCAATGGCATGTCTTTTTCTTCCTTCTTCGTCTTCTTTGCTTTGCGTGCCAATGGTATGAAGTTATGGTAGTTGTCGCTGCGAATAAGAATAAGAACAGTAGTCTCATAAATCGGCTAGTTAGAAAGTTCTTTAGCGCAAGAGACTTGTAACTACCAATTTATATTTGATGATCATATCAGCCTACTACTGCCTAAGTAAGACTTAAGAGTGCGTTGGCTAGGAGTTGAAGTTTGCTTTTATGCATATTAACTGTAATTAGTCTTTATTAAACCTCTTGTTAGTGAATCGTACTATTTAGTCGTCATCATCTGAGTTGACCAGATCTAATTATTCTTCTGAGAAATTAAAACTGCAGAAGCATAATGAACAACATCTAACAGTTCCTTACAAATGATTAAGATATTCAAAGTTTTCAAGCCCAAGTAGCACAGTGGTAGCATCTTTGAATGTAGCATTGAGTGATGTGTGTTTGAATATCCAAGGCAATGTAAGTTCGTCTGAGGTTGCAGATACGCTTTGTGAAGACTCATCTCCATTTGCTCAAACGCTAATCTTTCAAGCAACTAATTTAACCTGAACAAACGATTAGTAGCATCAAACCCACACAATACGTATGGTTCATATTCTGGTAGCAGGCAAATGAATTTTCCGGAAAATTCATACAGTCAGGCTCAGAATGGATCTAACTGGTTTAAGTGCTCTTTGTAGATTTATCAGTGTCATAAAATTCAACTGTGTAATCATCATTTTGAATATCATTTAATATTTTAGTTTATAATTGAAACCATTTAACTTTATCGATCGAAATTTGAAATGTGAAACTAAGCTTATTTTTTAGTCATGAATACGATCGATATACTTGTTTGACTTAAGTGAATCCCAACTACTGAAAACAGTCAGTCAGTAGTATATTCAGCCACGTTGTTTTGCTTATCTTCTTAATTACCACAAATAATATCAAACAGATCGGTCATATATTGTGATCTGAATATTATTTTCTTTGCACAGCAAAATGTGATGATTTCTCACCTCAAACTGTGGTGGTTTCAACTGATTTGTCTCTCTCAGCTGTGTGTAATAGGAAACCCCTCTGATGAGTTCAGTTCCAAACTACAGAAATGACTACCTGGTGTTTAGATGACTTCGATTTAGGCAGAGAGCAATGCCAGTTGGTGTGAGAGGCGGTTTCCAACTACTGATATCAATCAATCAACTTATCAGTAGTATATAGCATCACATTAAATAATATTATTGGTATTATTGAATGCGATATCGAGACTCATCCTGCTGATAACAATTCCTCAAATGAATGACATTCAAAATCAGGTCATAACTTCTTAATAACAAATGAAATTTAATCATTCGAATAACTCTATTATTATTATTGTTTCCTTTAATTCCTAGAGGAACATAGGGCTTCAGCCGTGCGTCTCCATTGCGTTCGGTTCTCTGCTAGAGTCTTCACCTGGCTCCCAGTCTGCCCACACGTTTTCATCTCCTCTTCACATGACCTCCTCCAAGTCACCCTTGCACTGACGACCAACTCGCCGCTTCCTTTTCGGGTTCCACTAGACCAATGGCTTGTCTAGTGATGTCACTTGATGGTTTCCTCAGAGTATGTCCAATCCATCTCCATTTCTTCCTGCCTATTTGTTTCACAATCGGTTCCTGTTGGATTGGTTCGCTCCCAGAGATCCCTCCCTGTTGCTGATGTTTTCTGTCCGGCCATCTGATGTTGAGTATTGAGTGAAGACAACTGTTAATGAAGGTCTGTAGTTTGTTTGAGATGCTCTTCATGACGCGCTGGCCAAGTCTCTGATGCGTATAGTAGCACTGATTGACTTCACATTGGAGTCGAAAATCCAGATCTTATTTTTGATGCTGAGTGCTGTTGACCTCCACACAGACTTGAGAGTAGTGAAAGCTTGTCTTGCTTTCCCGATCCTTGCTTTGATATCCTCGTCAGTTCCATCCGCCTGTAGTTGAAACGATGCTTCCCAGGTAGGTAGGTAGGTAGGTAGGTGAAAGAGGTTGTTTCTTTCAGGTTCCTTCCATTTATGCTGATTGTTGACTGTTGTTGTTGTTGCTGTTAGTGGTGTTGCTCAGGAATCTTCATCACTTCTGTTTTCTCTATGTTCACCTGAAGTCCTATCTTTGATGCTTCTTCTGCCAACTTGTTGCTTTTCGCTTGCATATCTTCCAGTTTGTGGGAATACTCAAATTATCTGCAGTCACTTTAACATTTTTCTAATTGACGGTAGTTTGGATTTTGTGTCTGCTCGTAACACATTAGAATGTCCTAAATGTAATTTGAAGATCTACAGACGGAAACCAACAAGTAGACGGAAGAAACAGGCAATGAATACAGGACTTCAAGTGGACCATAAACAGGAAGAAGCTGAACAAGGTCACTCCTTTCACTCATAAGAAGATGTCAAAGGCTGGATTGCAGAAGTAAGACTGACCATAAATCTGAAATCTGTCTGCAAACTACTGCAACAAGCATAAAGAACAAGAATCAGACTTTCAGCACTAATGTCAAGTCAAGTCTTCTATAGTGTTCGGATAAATAGCATGTCACCAAAAGCATTCGGAACAGGCTTCGGACTCTTGTCAAAAGCTGCCTTTGCCAGCTCCATACTGAAGATCAGATGGCTGGCCAGAAAGGATAAGCAGTAAGGAGCTATTCAATGCAGCGAGCCAACTAAGAACCTACTACCTAAACCAGAAATAGAGATGGACTGCACATACTCTGAGGAGACAGCTGATTGATATCGTGTGACAGGCAGGCAACTTGAGTGGAACTCGAATGGAAAACGACGATTCAGGCATGTGTCCAAG